CCTTTCCCTTTCTGTGTGTCCCCACCGCCGGTGACCCCAAAACAGGGCTGAGGGGCCCTGCGGCCTGCCGCCAGGGCAGGTTCCCTCCCTCTTCAGGGGGGTGGCCCGGGCCCTGCCCCTGTTCTTTTGAGGGTTAACTGCGCTGGCGTGGGAACGGTGCTCAGAGCAGAGCCCGGCAGCGGCAGTGACTTCGCGTAGAAGAGGAGGGTGCGAAGGTCGCACTCCGATGTCCCCTTCGCCGGGTGCCTGGGGAGCGGCCGTGTTGGCCACACAGTGCTGGGTCCGTGGGCTCCCCGCCTCGCATTCTGCTGTCCGACTGCGCGGCCGTGTGTCCCGCCCCTGACCTCGAGGGCAGTGGTGGCTTCAGGCCTTAGCTTTGAAGATCCTGCTGCCGGGGTTCTCTGGGGAGGCGGTTCTCCTACTGACACTGTCCCCCGTCCACGCAGGAGTGGATGGTCATGTGGCATGCGTCGGTGACATCACTGGTGGCCGCCTACACATGTGCTTGTGTGTGCTTGTCTCGCCTCATTCCCTCGGTGTTCATGGCCACGTGTCACATGTTGATAGCTGGGGGGCGAGGCCGGAGCGGGAGGCGGCCCCCCGCCGTGCTGGACCAGGTCAGAAAGGACACGGGCTCGTCCGCTGCGGGGCCTGAAGCAGCCGGCGCCCGGCTCACCCCTTGTTTCGAGTTGGTTCAGGACGCCTGCCCGGGCAGGAGGCTTCGGTCCCCGGTGAGGTTTCTACTGCTCCTGTCGTATGGTCACTAGTCGGCTCCATGGAGGAGGAGGAGGAGGACCGCCCTGATTACTGCCGTTCGGATGTGGGGACACCTTTCTTCGACAGGCCCAGGACAGCACTCCCAGGCACCAGGGGGCGCGCGAGGAAGCCGGCACTGAGCCAGCGGGGGAAGGACGCGCGTCTCCCTCCACCCTCCGCCTGCAGCACCTGCTGCACAAGGCACTGCTGGAGCTCCAGGCGCCCACGTGAAGGTGCAGGTTTATGGTCTGTGGGGTTTTGCCCCCAAAAATGTGTGTGTTCCGTTGCCGGATATCAAGCGATCACAGCGTAGCCGGTTAAACAGCCCCACAGATGTTCTGCCTCAGCAGGCGCTGGCCAGGCTGGGGCCCCGGAGCCTGCGGGGTCTCGGCCTCTCTCCCATGGGCTCACCTGTCCTTGGTGGGACTCACTTCCCTCCAGCTGTTTGCCTGGGATCCTCTTTGTATGGCCAGCTGCCAGCCGGGACCCTCTCCGCTCCCAGCTCTGCCCTGAGCTCGCTGCCGCGTGGCTCCTCTCACTCCCTGCTGCTTGCCCTCCTCCAGGGCGGCATCACTGGATCTGTCGGTCAGTTTGGTGGAAATTGACTTCTTAACAATATTGAGTCTTCACTGTAAAAAAAATTTTGTTTCAGCCCTGGCTGGCATGGCTCCATGGATCGAGTGCCGTCCTGCGAAGCAAAGGGTCGCTGGTTCAATTCCCCGTCGGGGCACAGGCCTGGGGTGCGGGCCCAGTAGGGAGCGCATGAGGGGCAACCACACATGGATGTTTCTCTCCCTCTCTTCCTCCCTCCTTTCCTTTCTCTCTAAAAATGAATAAGATCTTTTTTAAAAAAATCTTTTAATATCCCAGTTGCTTCCTCCCAGTAGATAAAGCTCACTTGATTTCGGTGTATGGACCTTGCATCTTGTGACCTTGCTGAACGCACCTATCGGCCGTCTCGCTGGCTCTCTCCCAGGGGCCTCAGGGTTCCAGCTGCAGCCAGTGGTGCGACCTGCAAAAGCGGCTCCTCCCGGCCTTCAGGACTTAGGCCCTTTGTTGCTTTGCTTGTGTGCGTGGTGCTTCTTCGCACTCACTGGTCCCCGCAACAGTGTTGACCAGAAGCGGCCGCAGCGGGCACGTCACCTGGGGCCCCGTCTCCTGGTGACAGTGTTCAGGCTCCATCGCTATTCATCGGACAGTCCCTTTTATGTAGCTGGCTGGCGGGTTGTAACCATGAATGGATGTTGGCTTCTATCAAATGCTTTTTCTGCATCTGTTGAGAACCATTTTGTTACAATGGTTTTCATCTTTTATTTTACTGATGTGTCGTCCTTGTTTATATGTTTTTGGGGTGGCTTCTGCGGCAACGCATGCCCACGGAGCACCGCTGGGACCTGGCGTGGGGCTCCGTCGCCCGCTTCCCCAGGCCACAGCTGGGTGCCCTGCGGTTTAACTCGCTCCGACCTGTCCGCCTGGAGGTGCCTGCGTCGGATCCCATGGGTGGGGCTCTGCCCACAAGACTGCCCCCGCCACGCGCACACTTCAGGTGCCAAGTGCAGGCCCAGGGAGCTCCCTGTGTGTCTTGGTTTCCGGCATCTCCATCTGACTCTTGGAGTGTCCACCTCTGCTGACGTCACCCGCCTGTCCTTGCCCGGGGTCCGCTTTTCTCCTTAGAGCCCCTAGCATATTAATCGTAATTATTTTAAGTTTCCCATCTGTTAATTCCCAACCCTCTGCCACGTCTGTGTCTGGTTCTGAAGGCTGCTTGGCCTCTTCACGCTGCGATTTTTGCCTTTGAGCTTGTCCTGGGATTGTCTGTTGAAAGCCGGACACCGCACGCCGGTTGCAGGCCCCAGCCGCAGCTTTCACCCCTGACCAGCTGCGGTTCTCTGTGCTCGCCCGCCCTCCCGGGGGCGGGGGCTCCGGCTGCCTTGTCATGTCCGTCCGCCAGTGACTCTAAGACGAGCTGTTGGCTTCCCGTCTGCTCAGCTTTTACTTTGACGTGGGGACGAGAGCTCGCCACGTGTTGGACCAGAGAAGTGTGCGCTCTTCTTCGACCTGCGGGTTATTTAGAAGCAGGTTGTCCCAAACCCTGACTATGATTTGCTCCGTATTTATGGTGTTTGGAATTAGTGGGGCTTCTTGAGATGTGTAAATTTATGTCTTTTACCAAATCTGGAAAGTTTTCTGCTTTTTTCTTTTAAAGCGTTCTTTCTGAGTCTTCCTGTTCTCTGCTGTTGGAGTCCAACCAAGGTGCTCTGGTCGGACCTTCTGAAATCGCCCCACAGACGCCCGAGTCGCTGTCGCCATTTACTAATCTCTTCCCTCCTGGGCCCGGGTCAGTTCTGTCGTTCTGACTTCAAGCCTTGGGGGCTCTTTTCCGTGTCCTCTCTGGCCTGGGTCCACCCATGCAGGTTTCGCGTGGATGCTGTGCGTTTCGGCTCCGACATTTCCCTGTGGCGCTCTTTGTGCTTTCTGTCTCTCTGCTGGGATTGTGTGTGTTTTCATTCTTTGCAGGCACCCTGGTACCTAATCGAGCGTAATTACAACAGCGGCTGCGAGTCTTCGTCCGGGGCTCTGGCGTCTGGGCTGTCCGCGTCGGGGTCTCTGTGGCGCCCCCTCGAGGCCCGCAGCCATCTTCCCGCCACCCCCCAGTGGGCCCTGGCCCGCACCCTGGACGTCACAACTGCTGTTTTAGTCTCCAGCCAACGCTGGCGTGTCCGCCTTGGCGGGCAGTCACGTGGTGAGGCTGCGGGCCAGATGCTCCTCACTGGTGCGGCGTGGCCCCCCGCCCCTGTCAGACGGCTCCAGGGACACCCCCGGGGGCACTCGAGGGGTCAGACCCTCCCGATTCGGGTGAGGCAGTGGAGGTGAGAGCACAGGGAGCGGGGTCGGAGGCCGGTTGGGGTCACGCAACGCAGGTCTGCTGTGGCCTCACCAGCTGTTTCCTGTCCGCCCCGGGAGGAGGCAGGACGCGCAGACAGAGCAAGAACCCGGCAGCAGCCAGCGGGTCGTAGCCGTCCCCAAGTGCAGAGCTGCAAGTGGGAGGAAGAGGCCCGCAGTCGGGATGGGGCGGGGCAGGGAGCCCCCATTCTCCCTGCAGCAGTGGGTGCCTTCCCACGGGGCGCTCACCCCTGCGTCAGACGGGCAGGGGGCGTCCCGGCATCCTGGGGGGACGTCTTGTTTGCTGTGCTCTCCCAGGGAAAACGTGTGTTCCTGTCCCCTTAAATCATTCAGAAGGCCTTCACTGTCCAATGGGAAGGCTGGTTCCTCACTGAAGGAAGTGCCCCCTCGCTCTCCTCTGGCACGCCCCCTTGGGACCAGCGGGGAGGATGTCAGGAGCTGGGCGCCTGTCCCCCCTCGTGGCCTGCGTCCCTTTCACGAAGCCACAGGCCCGAGCGGCCACCTCCTGCCTCCCCACCGCTCTCCCCCCGCAGGGGTCTGGGACATCAGTCCGGGCGTCCCGCAGCCACGTCGCCTCACTGTCTCTGAGATGCAGCGCTTGGGGGGGGGCCTGCAGCACCTCGGACCACCCTGCCCCGGCGGCGCCTGGGAGAGCCGCGTCCCCGGGGTGGGGTGTGGTGGAGTTTCACTGACTGCTCGCTCCGGGCATCTCCGTTTAAGCCACCACTGGATTGCCCTGAGGCTGCTCCTTATGTCCCTGACGGCCGTTGCACTTGGTGCTCAGCCCTTTCTCAAACAGGGTCTGGGTCAGCCAGGGGACAGCCTGTGGGCACTTGGCCCAGAGCATGTAGAGGACAGAGACAGGTACATCGTTCCGGCCACGGGGGCCCGAGCGAGAGGCGGTCGATCCGTCATCCAGACGTGGGAAGAGGGGAGTGTGTTCCGGGGCTCCAGAGCCTGTGCGGCTCCCCCTTACCGACTCCCGTCCCCAAAGACAGCGCCTGGAGCGGCAGCGGGCCGTCTCCATCAGAGCGGCGCTATTGCCGGAACATGGCCTGGGGCAGGCCACGCCCTCAGAGGGATGTCCGCCAGGCCCACGGCACCCGCCGCCGGAGCGCAGCAGCGCGTTCCGAAGCCAGCCTGAGCTTGAATCTGGGGGTCACAGCTAGAGAGACTGCATTTTTTAACTTAAAAAAGTGTGGGGGTTTTTTTGATCTCTGTACAGTCTTAGCCCTTGCCCTCCTGCTCACGCAGAGTGCAATAACGCCCGAGTTCTTCTGTTCACCAGATCAGGGCTCTGCCACTGAGACTGAGCTGTGGGTGTTTTCTCTTTGTGGCAGGGTGAGTCGGTGAAGTACTTCCTGGACAACTTGGACCGGATCGGCCAGCTGGTGAGTGCCACCCCATCCTGAGGCCCGCGGTCGGACTAGAAAGCATCTGTGTGCCAACCAAAGCCGCTCAGGCGATATAGGCTTCGCTCTGCGTAGGAGCCGTGTTTGGTGCGCCAGGTGACCTTGAAGAGTGACGGTGTCATGCTCTCGCTGGGGCGGGAAGGGCATGCTCAGGGTGAGAGTTTCCTGGTGCCAGTGGAGGGCGCTGTCACATTCTCGGTCGCAGACCTTCAGCCACCGCGCCCAATCAGCACACGAGGCAGCACTTCCATAGGGTCCCTTCGCGCAGACTCGCGCAGGGGCTGGGCACTTTAACTGTCTCCTGTGGGAGATGCAAACAGGACCAGCGTAAGGAGCACAGTGAGACCCCAGGGTGGACCGTTCCCGCCCTTGACCCGTCTTGTCTCATCCGCCCCATCCCCACGCCCCAGAGCAAATCCGTCGTCGATTTACTTCATCCGTAATACAGGGTCCGGCACAAATAACACCCCCTTTTTATTACCAAGTCTTCTGTTACAAAATCATAAACATGTAACTCTGTAACGTAACAGTATCACCCTCAAGCTGGCCGTATGACATTTTAAGGGAAGTGTTCAAATTAAAGCTGTAGAGACTATCACACCTGTGCTCTGACCCTGCCAATGACACTTGGGCAGGTGCCACTTCTGCCGGACCCTGCCGTTCAGAGCACCTCTGAACGGTAAGACCCCAACAGTCAAAACCACAGCGCCACGGTCGCTCCAGAGGAGCGGCAGCACTGCCTCAGCACCGGCACCCCCCGCTGGTGCGGGGATGTCCCAGGCGTCACCCCAGCGGCTTGGACCACCAGCCTCGTCCAGCCCGCACACGGTGACAGGTCCGCGACTCCGACGCGTCTTTCTGTCTCGGGGTCCCTCCCCATCCGCCTCTCTCTTTTGCCGGTTAAGGAAGCGGGGGCGCCTCCCCTGTGGGGCCCTCCCGTCGGCCTCCTGCGTGGGAGCCGCTTTCTTGGGCCCCTCCCCTGTCTGCCCTGCAAAGCGGTGACTGGTCCAGGGGCACCGTCACCCCTTTTGGGTCGGGGAGCCTGCGGCCCGAGCGCAGCCTGGGGTGGTCACGGGGGTCCGGCGCAGGCGGGCTCCGGGACTGCGGCACCTGCCTGCATGCCGCCGAGGGCTTTACACGCTCTCCAAGGGTAGCGTTAAATACAGCGAAGGCCTAAATGACATTAGCTCATCGTAAGGACTGGGAACGCATTTGCTCCAGAAGTCGGAACACTAGAAGGTAGCTATGGCACAGACATAGAAATAGATGGCTTGTTTCCTGTGGCGAAGACAATGCTTGAGGTTATTCCATCAAAACCTGACAGTGAGATTCTGAAAACGCCCTCAGACTGGGGAGCCTGCGTGCATTGTGACGTGAGCCCTTCCGCACCCTCGCTGTCTGTCCCGAGGCACATTTCTTACTTTATGCATCAGCGTGGCTTTTGGGATTTGGTTTGACTTCTCATAAAACCAGTTGGCGCCTCCCCTCCTGCCCGCCGTCTGTCCTCGCTTTCCCACGCGCCCCCTTCCCACACTTCTCCTGCTGTGTGTTACAGAACTACATTCCCAGTAAGCAAGACATCCTGCTGGCGAGGAAAGCCACCAAGGGCATCGTGGAGCATGACTTTGTCATCAAGAAAATCCCCTTTAAGATGGTGGACGTGGGCGGCCAGCGATCCCAGCGCCAGAAGTGGTTCCAGTGCTTTGACGGCATCACCTCGATCCTGTTCATGGTGTCCTCCAGCGAGTACGACCAGGTGCTCATGGAGGACCGGCGCACCAACCGCCTGGTGGAGTCCATGAACATCTTCGAGACCATCGCCAACAACAAGCTCTTCTTCAACGTGTCCATCATCCTCTTCCTCAACAAGACGGACCTGCTGGTGGAGAAGGTGAAGGGCGTCAGCATCAGGAAGCACTTCCCCGACTTCCAGGGCGACCCGCACCGGCTGGAGGACGTGCAGCGCTTCCTGGTGCAGTGCTTTGACCGCCGGCGCAGGAGCCGCAGCAAGCCGCTCTTCCACCACTTCACCACGGCCATCGACACGGAGAACGTCCGCTTCGTGTTCCACGCGGTGAAGGACACGATCCTGCAGGAGAACCTGAAGGACATCATGCTGCAGTGAGCCCCGCCCGCCCCGGCCGGGCGCGGGGCCGCGATGAGCTACTGAATCCTGGGGATGCACACTACTGAGACTCTGCGCGCCGCTCAGGGCCGCCCGCGCCCACGAGCAGCTCGCGTCCTCCTACGGCAACGCCGTTCCCGCCGGACGCAGCATCACCGCGCCCGTGCGCGCGCTCTCTAACGACACAACACTGACCAGCTGGCCTTGCAGACAGCTCGCTCTCTGACTTACAGGTCTAACCCAAAGCTCTGCCTGCCGCTAGCTCTAGCTCGTAGGAGCCTGCGGGCACACTGAAGCTGCTAACGCAGTCCCCCGCCTCACCCCGCCCCGCCCCCCGCCCGCTGGGGGTCCCAGCACCACCTCCCAAAGTGAGCCAGTTGCCTTTTAAAACTCCCATGCCATCTCCTGAGAGCCCCTGGGGCAGGCCATTGGGTGAAGCCCAGGGCCCGGCCTGGAGGGCGGGTGGCGCTCCACGGGTGTGGTCTTGCCTTAACGCCCCAGCCTGCGCTGCCCCTTCTGCCCCGACCTGGCCCAGGTCTGTGGACGGGACATGCCCCTCTTCCCCTAGGCCCACAGCGGTGCTCATTTCTCTGGATCCGCCCTGCCCTTCCCCCACTGGTGAAGGCGAACCAACCAGTCTTGTGGGTGACTGTCCCACCTGGGGAGTCACCTCCTGGCACCTGCCGTGGGCTGCACCGGCTCCCTGGGGCACTTCCTGCCCTCCGGCCGCGGCTGCAGGGATTCCAGCACTGCCTGTGGCCACGCACTTGCTCAGGCACCACAGACCCTGCCCTGCAGGAGGCTGGGGACCCCTCGCCAAGCTGCGCTTCTGCAGACTGCCCCGCCGCCGGCGCCTCTACACCCTGGCCCAGCCCGGCCCTCGTTCCCGCCCCGGCTGTGGTCCAGGGCTCCCGCCGCTGTGGCGCCCACACACTAGGCCGCTGTCGGCTGGGGCTCTGCACAGGGGAGTGCGGGAGCTCAGGGCAGGGCAGGCTGCTCGGTGGCACCCAGTTCACCAGCCCCGCTGGGCGCCACGCGTGTGCAGAACGCTGCCCCCCGCCGGGCACCGCCCCGCCGCAGAGCCTGCCGCACTCGTGTCAGGGACGCTCCCGCATGTGACAGGAGAGAGGGAGAGCTTCCTCAGGGGCAGGACGTCACTGCGGTTGACTCGCACACCCTGGGGCCCTTGTCCTCAGGCCACACCGGTCCCTTCCTGTGTCCCTTGGCACCTCGCTTGGCTCCGAGTCAGCAGGCCAGACACGCTTGCATCCCACGGCAAGGCCGCCCCAGGGGAGGGAGGGAGGGAGGCCTGCTTCCGAGGCGCCCGTGTTTCCACCACGTCTTCGATGAGGAGGCAGCATGCGGTCCTCTCTCTTTGGTGCTCAAGGCTGTGCGGCGGCGTTTGGGGGTTTCAGCTGCTTTTCATTTTTTGACCAGAAAGAAGTTGCTTGTTTTGCACCACCTCCCGTGGTGGCCCATACACTGAGAAGCCGTGCGGCTATCGGTGGCCGCGTGGCCCGGGGCGAGGAGCCCTGGGCCGCAGGGGCAGGGCGCTCTGAGATCACGTTGCTTTTGGTGACAGCGGGGGCACCCCCGCCCATCACTGCGCCAGGCCTCACAGGTGTGCGAGGCGTCCAGCCGTTCCTCCCCAGCCTGGAGACGTGGGCCCGGGGAGGCTGCGGACCCCTGGTCCGCGCGCCTGCGGGCAGCCCACCCAAGTGCTTTTGCCTGCAGCCAGCCCGATAGGTGTGCCATTCACGCTCCTTTAAGTGCGAGGGACTGTGACTGCGTCGAGCTGACCGGATTGCAGCGTGGGGTGGCCGGAGGCCGGGACCCCCACCAGCTCGGCCCCCAACCGCGGGGCCTTTTCGCCGAGCCCGGGCATCCCTGGGACCCGGGGCGAAGGTGTCAAAGGTGTCAGCTCTCAATTCTGTGACTCGTCGTAACCGGAGAAGAGGAGAACTATTTGCAAGGCTAAACTAAACCATTCACAACTTTTCTACACATAGACTGTAGTCATTTTTGTCTCTAAAACCTTTGGCTTTTGTAATTTTTTATCTTAATTTCACTGTTATCCTTGATTATTGTCTTTTTTATTGAGATATTGGAGAAGCAGGAGATAGTTGTGCCTCATCTATTATTGCAAAAATGTAACAATAAACTTTCTCAAAACAAGAAGCTGTTCTCTCATACTCTTTACACATAAGAACACATGTAGGGTTTTTGATGAGTTTTTTTTTTTTTTTTAACTGTTCTGTTTGGGGAGAAATTGTTTCAAAGATGTTGAGTTACAGCTTCATAATTTATAGAGATTTCTATCTAGCATTCTTATCCCTGTGATTTTTTTTTTTTACTTCCTGGATAGGGCGGGGCCCTGAGGGCAGTGGAGGGGGCCCCCGGGGACAGGGGCCTGGCCCGCCTTGCACCGCGCATGTGGATGGCAAGGCTCGAGGGCAGCCGGCCAGCAGGCCTGCGCGGCTCCGCGAGTCCGCTCCAGGCAGCCAGGGGGCGACCGCGTGGCTGCGGGGACCCGTCCTCTGCACCAACGTGGCGCGAGGCCCCAGCCGCTCGGGCTGTTGACATTGGCATCTTGGCCCAAGTGCCACCACCCGCCCAGGGAGTCCCTGGACCGCTGGGGAGTCCAGGGAAGGGCGGCAGCCGCCCACCCTGCGGGTCAGCTCAGGCCCAGGCTGGGCCCGGCCGAGGGGCTGCCCGGGTGCTTTCTGAGGCCCAGCCCAGGACACAGGGCCCAGCAGAGGCGGCGAGGCTTGACCGCTGGCCCCACAACTTGGCAGCCTCGGGCAGAGCACCCAGCCCAATCCAGGCCCTCTCGGCCACAGGAGGAAGGCTCCTGCTGGGCAGGGCGGCTTGGAGCCCCGAGGCGGGCGGGGGAGGAGGGCACGGGCGGGCAGAGGCCCGCAGCCCCCGGCCCACAGAGCAGCTCCTCGCAGGCCTTCTCCTGTGTTCGTCTGTCCGACCCTGGCCTGCTGTGCCCTCCTTCGAACTGGGCCGGATCTAAGTTTGGAGCTGTGCCATTAGCGGCTTCCTTGGCCGGGGTGTGTTTATTTTTTCCTTTAAGCCCTTTTGGAGATTTGTCTCCTCCCAGAAAGATCTGGGACGTCCCATGGGTCAGCGTTAGCGGGATGACGTCGCCGCTCCCCGTCCCGCGCTCTGGAACTGCAGGGGCCAGCGGCGAGGCTGAAAGGCCGCCCTGTCCCGCGGGACTGCCAGGCGCAGGGCGGGGGCCAGGAGGGCGGCTTCGGACGGTTCCGACGGTGCCTCTCTGAGAGGAAGGGGGAGCCGAGAGGTCAGGAAGCGGGAAGCCAGGGCTGCCAGAGAGGATGTGTCTGTCGCCTCTGAGAGCGGGGCCTGGCTGCCCACCCCCTTCAAGGAGACATCGTTCTTGCAGGGGAGGGGGGAGCTCTCACTGGCCTCCTGGCCCTCTGACCCAGGAGCCCCAGAGCCCGCCAGGCCTCTCCGCCCGGGCGCTCCGTCCCACTGGAAGCTCGCAGAGCTGTGCTGTGACTCCCGGGGGACAGAGACGGGGCCAGGAGCACAGCCATCGTCTTTGTACGTTTACAGAATCTCTGTCCCCAAATTGTTCTTTCCAGAACATCTCTTCCACCAGCGTCTGCAGCTGGGGGTGGGGGGTGGGGCGAGGCGGAGGCTCTGCTGTTAGGGGCTTGTCCCTGCCCACTTGAGAATGCTTTTTTGGGACACTTGTCACAGCTGAGAGCCAAAGGCCATGGACGCAGATAGAAGTGCTGAGAATGTGGCCTCGACCCCTCCCCAACCCCCCACCCGGTGACCCAGAGCTCCTCCCTCAGGTCCCCGACACACAATCAGGTCATTTAAGAGAGCGGCGGATGTCCCGGATGGAGAGTGAAAGGATTTCTGTTGTAAAAACACAGTCACAGTTAAACAAGTCACCCATGGCCTGGGGGCCGCCCCTGCCCCTCAGTGGAACGGCGTGGAGCCCTCCTGAGGGAAACCGGCGTGAGAAGCGCCCACTCCCTGCCCTTGCCCCGCCCACATCCACAGGGGAGCGCGGTGGCAGCCCTCGGCTCTGGCTCCTGGGGACAGGCCTCCGGCTCTGAGTGGCCACGTAAAACTCCTGCACAAAGTTTGGAATGAGACAAGGAACCACACGTATTCAAACACCCCATAACCTCACCTCGTCCGAGGACTGCGCTCTCACAGAAGACGGAAGGAAATTGGAAAACAGGCCCGAGGGCGCAGGGTCATGGCCAGTCCAAGCCGAGGACGCCGACGGGCGGGACCCGGGGGTCCCGTCGCCCTGCGCTCGCAGGCCTCGCCCCGCTCCGCGAGCCGGGGCGGCCTCTGCGCCCGCCTTTCTGGAGGGTGGTGGGCCAGCCCCCTCGGGTCCCCGGGCCCAGGCAGGACACGCGCCCCAGCGGCCTGCGTCTCAGATGCTGCCTTTGGGAGCCCGCGCCGCATCGCGCCGGGGGCGGGGGCGGGGGGGGGCGGGGGGGCGGCCCTGCAGCCGACCCCTGACCACCCCCCGCCCGCTGGCGCCCCAGCTAAAGGTCTTGGGGGTTTAGCCTGCCTTGGGGCGGTCTGTGGCACTGATGGTCGCCGGCAGCTTGCCCCTCGCCCCAGCTTCCGGGCAGGTCCACCCGGCGCCCTTCAGCAGGGCCCGTGCGCCCTCCCGGGACAGGCCCGGGTCCTGCCTGGTGCTGCCAGGCAGCTTCAGGCTGCCCGGCTCGGGGCCCCTCCTGCGGCTGGGCTTGTGTTTGGTGCTGTTTTTCTCAGAAGGCCCCCACGCCGCACGAGCTGCCCCCTCCCACAGGGAAACCAGCGCAGACCGAAGCGGAGGACCGGCGGCCCCAAAGCGGGGGGGGGGGGGGGACGGGGGACGGGCAGGTGGCGCCCCCTGCTGACAGGATGCGGGCAGAACTAGACAAACGTCCGCACAGACCGAGGGCCTGGGGGCGGTAACTGCGGGGGCCCGGCTGCCTCGCCCGCAGCGCGCCCCCACCCCCGCCCCCGCACACGGCGCCCCGCGGAGCCAGGCTCTGTTGGGCGGCGGCGTGAAGCCGAGGACCGGGATGCTGCTAATACCGCAGAAGTGGCCCTGTCTGTGTGGGGGAGGGACCCAGAGATAGAAAGAAACCCCCTTGGTCCCTCCCAGGGGAGGCGCCAGTCATGGACCCCTGTCACTCCCGCTATAGACACTAGAGGGACCCCCAGGCCCAGAGACCCCCGCCCCCAGGGGAATCCCTGCCCGGCGTAGGGAGAGGAGAGGAGGGGGCCTCCTGGGGCCGGAAACACGGCGAGGTCTATGCCATGCTTTTGGCTTAAAACGCTTGGTTTTAAAATGAAGCCACAGCGATTTGGGTGATAGGCTGTTGCCTTTATTGAAATGAAAACTTTTTAAACTGTGGGTTTTCGCCCAGAGGTGGAAGAGGTGACTTAAAGAAAAAAATAAACACTGTCTGCCTTTGAACTCTGAACTCAGAGTCAAGTAGCTGAGGTTTCAAACAAACCTTCCCAGGGAGAAGGATCTCCCTGCAGTGCCGCGTGCCGCCAGCAGAGGGCAGCGCGGCTACACGGGCGGGAAGGACAAGGCGCCAGAGGGTCCTATGCGTGCTCGAGGCGCCCGGCGCCCTGGGCCAAGCTGCAGGCGCCCACTTCCCGGGAGAGGCAGAGAGAAGGGCTCTAGCACAGCCTCACCGGCCCTGCCCTGCCAGCGTGTCCCCACGACAGGGCCCAGGGGCAGAGCCCAGCCTGAGGGGCCGAGCGAGACAGGGGCTGCGCGTTCAAGGGCGTCTGTCTCCACGCACACGCACGGCCTCCCCAGGGCGGGGCTGGCTCGCCGTGCGGGGAGGAGCGTGCCCAGGATGAAGCTCCAGGCCTCGCAGCGGGCCGGGCCGGGCAGCACCAGGCCCAGCACGCGCGGCGCATCCCCCGGCTTGCCAGGGCAGGATGCCGCCTCGGAGAGGGCCAGAGGGGACTCGAGGAGATGGCCCTGGCCCGTCTCCCAGCCCCGGGCCAAGGAGCCAGCCCTGTCGCCCTCTCCGTCTCCCTCAGACCAGCCCGTCCTGGAGTCCAGGAGCTGGCGAGACCCATGCTGCACGCAAGCGTTGGACCAAGAACCTGCGGCATCCCGGTGCACGTGGGGCGGGCGTGTTCCTGAGTGTCCCGGCCCCGCGGGGTTCTTCCTGTAACTGAGAGCATTCTATACCTTGCTCCCCTGGAGCCCCGGAGCCCCCGGACGCCCAGGAGGGCCTGGGCCACAGCTTCCAGAGGAGATGGAGGCAGGGCCGGCAGCCTGCAACAGCCCAGCAGCGACCCTCCTCGTGGGTCCCAAGTTCCGCTCTCTACACTGTTTCCTCCCAGGTGATGGGGTGCGGGCCCTCCCCACACTCATGGGCTAGGCTCACAGGAGCCCTGGTTTAGGGGAGATGCTCCGAGAGCCTCAGGCTGGGGGATGGGGGTGGGCGGGACAACCCGGCTCTCCCACTGCCTGATGGTCCCGGTGGCCAGGGGAGCGGACAGTGCCCAGGTTGCCTTCCCTGGGGAGCCACCCCCAGGAGATCGCTGAGACCCCTCTCTGCTGGGCTCCTCTGCAGTGTCAGACCAGGAAGTCCCAACCCTGGCGCAGAGCACGGAGCCACACCATCCTGCACATTGGGCTTCTGCCCCCTCTCCGCCCTTTGTCACCTGGAGCAGGGGATGTAGATGGTGACATGTGTGACTTCCGGGCATCGCCCACGAAAACTCCCCCTTCTCCAAGCCCTTCTCTCATTTCTGGTGTGCGGAGGTTGAACCAGCCTTGCCTCCTTGAGACAAACCCCACGTGGTCACCAGAGTTCTTGTGGGTTGTTGGACTCGTCACTTTGTTGAGGGTTTTTCCATGTGTTCATGAGCAGCAAGTCTCATTTCCTTGGAACGGCTCTGTCTGGATTTGGTGTTGGGGCTGCGCTGGCCTCCGGTGAGTGGGGAAGACACTCCCTCGGCCTCAACCCTCGGAAGCAGTGACAGAGAGCGGGTACGATTTCGTCCTTTCAAGTTGGCAGAACTCACCCGTGAGGCCACCTCCAACAGAGGCTCTCTGTCTTGGAAGGTGATTTACTATTGCTCCGTTTCTTTACTAGCAGCAGGTCTATGCAAGTCTTCTTTTCCTTGCACGGGTTTTGGCGGCGAGTCCTCTGAGGAACTGGTCCCTTCGGCTGGGCCATCAGAGCTGTGGGCCGAGGCAACCCAAGTGTTTCTTCAGGGCCCTCCCCGCATCCATGGGGTCACTGGGGTGTCCCCGCTTGCATTTCTGACACTGGTCACGTCTGCCCTTTTTTTTTAGCGTGCCTAGACACTTAGCGATATACTGATCTATTGTTGGAAGGACCAAGCTGATGGTTTAGATGATTCTGTTTTCAACTTGATTTCTGCTCTAATTTTTATTTCTGTTCTGCTTATCTTGGATTTAGCGCGGTCACCTTCCAGCTTTCCTAAAATGAAAGCTTGTTGGTTTGAGGTGTTTTCTTTTCTAACATAAGCACTCAATGCTATGAATTTCCCTCTAAGCACTGCGTCCGCCTCCTGCTGCCGCTCTGGCCGCGGCGGGAGCTTCGGAACACCGGGGCGCTTCCCTCTCGGAGGCGGGCCGCAGACGGGGAGGCCTGTGCCCAGGGCCCTGCAGCCCAGCAGCCACACTGCCGGGGACAGCAAGGCCACGGCCAGTGCGCCCACTGGGCCCTGGGGACCGGCCTGGGTCTCCGCTCGCCCAGATACTGCTGCCCGGGGCTCCGCCCGCCGGGTCAGGGCGGTGAGCCTGCGGTCATGACGAACAGCGCGGTTGTGGGGACTCAGAGGCTGCAAACCCGACCTTGGATGGACCTGGGGTCGTGTCGGGTGAGGCCAGGGTCTAGAGCCAGACACTTTCCAGTCCAGGCCACCTGCCCCCTGCCCCTCGGTCCTCCCAGAGGCGCAGGGGGCCCAGGGGAGACCCCGCACCAGGGGGCAGGTGGCCGTACCATAGGAGGGTCCCTGGTCACTCACTCCTCCAAGCTCCCTCAGGACCCAACACCGACTCAGTGGCCCTGTCAAACGCCATTTATTTTCAGTAGAAAAATGCCACTTTAACAATACGGCAACACACGTGATGCTGGCCTTACTGGTCTCGCCGGGGCCAGCTTCCCTGAGGGTCCCCCACGCAGCCGGGCTGCGCTGCGGGGGAGACGGGGCCCAGCCGCGGGGGCGGGGGCGGCCGCGGGGCCGCCTCAGTAGCAGTCGGCCTCGTTGTCCCCCAGGGCGCCCGCGGCGGCCAGCATGTCCTGCAGGAGCGACTGGGGGCTCCTCTCCACGTGGTCGCTGCTCTGCGCCAGCGCCCCCCGCAGGCCCTCCAGGTCCAGGGCCCGCAGCACGGCCATCGCAGCCTCCGGCTCCAGGGGCCCCAGCGGCCGGCCCTGCTCGCCCGCCTGCCACCTCTGCAGCGTGGCCTCCACAGAGGCCACGTCGGGGCTGCTCCCCGCCCCCTGCAGGCTGGCGAAGGGGGCGGCCTGGTCCCGCAGGAAGAGGAGGAGGTCGCAGGCCTTTTGGGCCACAGCCCGGTCACAATCAAACAGGGCACGGAAGGCAAACTCGAAGAGCTGCACCCGGCAGAGCACCCGCAGGGCCTGGGCCAGCTGGCCGGGGGGTGCAGCCACAGGGGCGGCCACGGCACAGGGGCAGTGGGGGCCAGGCACGCCCAGCGTCTGCACCAGGAACACCAGCGCCAGCTCCAGGCCCTGGGCCCGGACCTCCCAGTCCAGGTCCTGGCTCGCTGCCTGGAGCACCCTGGCCACGAAGCGCTCCGTGTCCTCGGCCACTTCGGTGTGGCTGTCCCTCAGCCACTCCGTGAAGACCTGCATGACAGCCCTCCGGGGAAAGCCCTCCGCATCCGTGGAGAGGACGTGCAGAAGGTCCAGCAGCAGGCTCTTCTGGGGGACAGAGGGGAGCAGGTGGGAGGAGCCTGGGGGCAGGGCAGCGCCAGCCCCCGAGCCCGCGCCCTCCATGGGCTCGGCTGTCCTCTGGGGTGGCCACACCTGAGGGACGGGCGCCGGGCGCCGAGTGGGAGGCTCGGACGTGCCCACGGAGCCCTGGCCTTAGACCGCCCAAGCCAGGCGTCAGGACGGGCCGGGTGTGGGCTGCACGGCCCGGGGCCTCCTACCTGCGGGCCCCCCGGGGGCTCGGGACTGGCGCGGGCGGCGTGCAGTCCCTGGCTGGAGAGCAGCCCCACGGCGGTCACCGCGCTTGCGCGGACGTAGCTCTCGGGGTCTTGCAGGAGCTGCTCCGCGAGCTCAGGCACCTCGGAGGCCAGGAGCGCGTGTCTGAAGCCGGCCTGTCCTGCGGGTCCGAGCCGCCACAGCAGCTGTGACCAGGGGCTGAGCCCGCAGCCTCCCTCTCAGGCCTCGAGGGCGGCCGAGGTGGTCTGGGCTCCCGAGTCAGCAAGAGTGACCGGGGAGCCCGGGCCGCCTGCCCCCACGGGGCCCCCACCTGCACTCACCTGCCCAGTGTCGGGTCATCTGGGTCAGGAACTCGAGCCCCGAGTCCCTCACCTCCCAGCAGGGGCTGCACAGGCGCTTCTGCAGCACAGGGAGAAGCTCTGGGGCGGGAGGGCGGTTCAGAGTGGCCCGGCCGCCCGCCCACCGCCCCCCCCCCCCCGCTGCCCCCGCCTCGCTGCTCAGTGCGCCCCTGGAGGGGCCCGGTTACCTCCGAGGAACAGCTGGGTGTGGGGGTCCAGGCTGCAGCCGCCAGGGGGCTGGGGCGAGCTCAGCAGCCACCGGAGCGTGGCCTGGAAGGCCTTCTTCAGGACCTGGGGGGCAGAGAGGGCTGCAGGGCCAGGAGGGGGGCCCGCCCCCACCCCGCGCTCCCTTCCCCGAGGCCAAAGCTTCAGGAGGCAGAACAGGCCCCCAGACGGGGGTGGGGGGGCCTCATCAGGAACCTCACCCCTGGGGAAATGCAAGTCCTGCCCCCAGGCCCCAGCAGCTACCAGGCGCCTTCGCCTTGAAGTCTCGGGGTCGGGAGGCCCACGTCCAGCTCTCCCCGCCGCCGCTCAGAGGCCTGGGCACCGCCCACACTGCGCCCACGGGGCCCGCCTCACCGCAGGGCTGGGCAAACGGCCCGGGGGCCAGGCAGCGGGGCCCCTGGGCTCCAGGTCACGCCTGCTGCCCAGGAGCCCGTGAGGGCCCCGGACTGCCTGCTTCCCACGGCCAGTGGGCCCAGCACTCCGCCCGCAGCCCCTGCAAATGCCTCTGAGCAGAGACTCTGGCCCCGCCCCCTGCAGGCCTGTACCGTGGGGCTGGAGTCGGGGCTCTTGAGGTAACCCAGGAGGACAGCCAGCGCCTGCGTCTCCAGCTCTCGGGGGCCTGAGAGAGACGGGGGAGGGGATGAAGCCCCGCCGCCAGCCCAGGTGCCCCAGCAGAGGGAGCGCGCAGTCGGGGGCAGGGACAGAGCCCACATCAGCAGAACGCGCCCCCCAGAGATGAGAGATGAGAGGCGAGGACAGCAGCCCCCGCACAGCTCTAAGCAGCAAGGGGAGCAGGGCTCACAGGCATGTGGGGCTCGCTCCACCCGAGCCGAGTGTGGGGGCTCACCTGCACCCTGGGACAGCGCCCCCAGGAAGTCGAGGGCCGCTCGCTGGACCCGGACGCAGCCGGCCAGGGCCACACAGAGGCGTCCGCCCACGTCGGAGGCGGGCACTGCCGAGCCGCCACAGAACTGCAGGACTGCCACCGTGGCGCCCAGCAGGGCGGCCTGCGGCCAGGGCGCGGGGCGCTGGGGCTGTGGGAGGAGGGGGTCAGTGTGCCACACGTGCGCTGCCGGGCCTGCGGCCGTGGGGACGTGGGCCAGGGCGGCACCCACCATGGGCAGCAGCAGCTCCAGGTGGGCCAGGGTCTGGCAGAGGAGGCCCACGCAGGCCGACCGGGAGGACAGCAGCGCGTCCACCACGGCAGTGTCGCCCGCGGGCCCAGCCGGCAAGCCTGCAGGTCAAACCAGACACGGTTCCCAGTGAGCGGGCATGTCCTGAACAGCCGCCACGGGTCTCGCCACCTGTCCCCGACCCCTTCCTTGTCCCCCTCCCCTGTCAGAGACGAGGACGGGAGGTTCGGAGCAGGCGGCCTGTCCAGGGCGATGCCCAGCCAACCCGTGCCACAGCCTGCCTGCAGGGCCCCGGAGTAGCCGGCTGCCCCGCTGCCCCCAGCCTGCCCCGACCCCCGAGCCAGTCTGACCGTCCCACGTGGCGCACCTGGGGGTCCAGGGGCCTGAGCAGCAGCTTTCAGGACACAGGCCAGGGGCTGGAGGAGGATATCGAAGGCCTGTGTCCTCAGAGCCTGCGGACTGCGGACAGAGCACATGGTGAGTACGGCTCCCTGACCCTCCTAACGGCCTCAGCCAGTGTGGGGTGCAGGGCCGGGGCTGGCATCTGGGCACTGGCTCCCACCCCGGGGCGCGCACACGACGGTGGCCCAGGACCGCAACCTGAGGCTGCCGGGCAGGGGCCGAGGGCACAAGCCCAGCCCAGCTCTGGGCAGGGAAGCTCCGAGAGTCTGCCTCAGCCCCGCAGAGCCGCGGGGCCTTTGCTGGGAAAAGCCGCCCCGTCTGTAATGAGCGTGCACCACCGCCTTGGCGGCCGGCCACACCCCGCCGGTGGGCCCAGGGGCGGGGGGCGAGCCTGACTGCCCTCAGCTCGAGCTCCCGGGAGCTCCCTGACCCCCAGGGCCCCCCCATGCGCCCCGCACTCACCAGCCCTGCAGCTTGAGGACCCCCAGGGCCAGGGGCCCCGCCTGCATGGGGCTCAGGCGGCCCAGGGTCTGCGCCATCGTCTCCCACAGGTCGCAGGTGGCACTCCGCGCCGGGGAGCTGCAGGGAGGACCCCAGGACGGGAAAGTCACGCCTGTCTCGCCACCACAGCCCACGTGCCGCCACCCAGGAACCCGCCCCCAGTGGAGAGGGAAGGGCCTCCCAGGAGCCACTCTGGGGCCCCCTGGCGGGCCCTCTGCTGGCGGCAGCGCCCTCGGGGACCAGTGGGACAGGCCCAGGCCTGACCGTTGCCCTGAGGCTTCCCAAGGAGAGCAAGTGCCCGCCCCGCCCCACCGCGCCCCGGGGGCCTGACCGGGCCACGCTGAGGAGGAGATCCACCAGCGCGTGAGCAGCTGGGATGGGGTCTTTCTCGAGCAGACGGGCCACGAGGGGACTCAGCCGCACCCAAAGGACTTGCGTCCAAGGGCTGTGGCAGTGCCCAAAGGTGGTGGTCAGGACATTCAGGGCCTGCGTGACCCGCGGGGTGGCCGTGGAGCACAGGGACTCTTCGACGTGGCCCACGATCTTCTGGGCACACGCGGGCCAGTCACCAGCCTGCGGGCCAGGGGGCCCCGCGGCCGGGCCTCGCATGCACAGGCCCAGGACGTGCACCAGGAGCTGCCCAGCCGCCGAGGCCACAAACAGGCTGGGGTCGCCCTGCAGCGAGAAGACGGTGTCCAGGGCACCTGGGGCGGGGGAGAGCGCGGGGTCGGCTGGGACTCGGCACCGGAGGCCACAGCGCTGGGCTGCGCGCGTCCACCAGTGGAGTCCGGAGCCTCAGGGAGGTGCCTGAGCACTGCCCACTGCTGGAGGGGCCATCGGAGGCCATCGGCTCAGACGCCGAAGACCCGGAGCCAGGCCCTGCGTGCCGGCAGTGCCAGGCCAGCGGGGCTCTGCGGGGCGGGCACTGTCTCGCACGCCGAGGTTGCCAGTTCAATGCCCAGTCGGGGCACGGACCTGGGTTGTGGGTCAGGTCTTCAGTTGGGATACACGCAAGAGGCAACTGATTGATGCCTTCTCCCTCTCTTTTTCCCTCCCTCCCCTCTCTAAAAATAAATAAGCTAAATGTTTTAAAAGAAAAAGAACCGCAGCTGCAGTTTTGTAGGGTGATCAGCACCGTTTCCTACCAGAGCTTGAAACCCACAGAGGCCTCCGATGCCCCCAGCCGGTTCCAAAGCCACCCCAGCCCTGGGTCTCCCCACGAGAGGAAGGACGGCCTCACGTGTTCTAGGGGCCTCTATGGCCCAGTCGCCCCCATTCCTCACAGCAGCCCCAGACATCACAGCCACCCTCCAAGACAACAAGGCCCAGCCAGGTTCTCCCTGGGGCCACGGAGCACCAGGCTCGGTGAGGGTCCCGGAAAACGGCCGCAGGCAGGCGGTGGCGGCGGGGCACTCACCGAAGCTGTCCAGGAAGCGCAGGGCACTGGGGTGCTGCGCCAGGGCGCGCAGGCCCTGGATCCAGCCGCTGCGCACCGTGGGCGCGGCCCAGGCTGCTCCGCCCAGGGGGCCCGCCTCCCCGAAGAGCCCGGGCAGCAGCTCCCCCTGCTGAGTGGAGAAGGAACAGTGACCTGGCCAGGCCCGGGGGACAGGCAGCCGGGGACGCGCTGTGGACAACCAGCCCCCGGGCGGCCGTGCTCCTGGGAGGCGGCCGGTGGCCCCCAGGGCCGCGTTTTATTTTAAACTAAGGTTCCTCAGTCTCGTCACCATTTACTTCAGACTCGCTCCCCCCAAAGCAGCAACGCCAGCTCTACCGCCGAAGGCCGGCTCCAGCCACACCCTTCTGTGCCCAAGGACGGCCGTGGCCTCCAGAGCCTGCTGACCTCCTGTCCGCAGCCGGCCTGCGGGGCCTGCCAGGACACCGCCACCTCTAAGGGCCGCCCGCCCGGATGCCGCCCCAGCACAGCCGTGCGTCCAGCCCGTCTCCTGCCTCGTTCACACTCTTGACAAGACATAGAGTGGGGGACAAGCCCCATTTCGGAGATGGGGGTGGTGACGCCCCCCCCCCCCCCGCACCTGAGGAGAAGGCCGTGCGCGCTCGGGACCGCGCAGGGCGCCAGCTCACCTGAAGGTACTCGAAGCAGTCTTCCTGGGCAGCGAGGACGCCCGCGAGGCGGAGGGAGAAGGAGAGGACGGCGGGGCTCAGGCCCGGGGCCTTCAGCGCCTGGGACAGCAGCTCCACCAGGCAGGGGCTGTCCTCCAGCAGCAGCAGGCTGGACCCTGGGCGCGGGCCCGGCGGGAGCGCGTCACCAGCGGCGCGGGCTGTGCCCCGGAAGCCCGCGCCCCCAGCCCCCGGCCGCCCTCAGGCCTTCGGATCCAGCAGTCTAGCGGGGGCACACGCGTGTGGCCATCGCCACCAAGTCTAACACGGGGAGCAAGCTAGAAAGCCAACACCTCAACACAGGAAGGGGGCGTGAACAGGAAGTACAAATGGCCGAAAACCCTGACGAGGTGCTCTGCCCTGCTGATCATGAAAACGAAAGGCGAGTTCAAGCAGGAGGCCGTTGCTCCCTCTCAGATGCATTTTTCTGACACTGGGAGTGCCCGACCCAAGGAAGCAGTGGAATGGCTGTTCTCACCAGCCCAGCCCCGGGAACCCTGCCCGCACCCATGCTGTGCCCACGGCGCAGGCGGGGGGCCCCGCAGAGGGCCCGGCTGCGAGGACCGCCTGCCACGGAGCTGCCCGCGGGACGTGGCGCGCGGCACGAGGGAGCGGGAGGAGCTCGAGGCAGAGACCAGTGGCCAGGTGGGCGAGGCTGACGGGCACGACGCTGAGCCAGGAGTAACCTGTGAACGGCTTTAACCGAGATGGGCTCCCGATGCCGACGCAAGCACACGCGAGGCCGCGCCGGGTGGGGGCCCCCGTGCGCTCGGCTCCCGGGGCCACTGAACAGAGAACAGGGGCTCTTCTACTAGAGACTCTTGTCCCGCTGGCACACGCAGGCAGCCGCTAAGGGACAGAGGCGCGGCGCACACCTGCCCAGTCCCGCACAGTAACACGGGTCGCCGCCGCTCAGGGACCCTTCCGGGCAGACGGGCGGCCTTAAACGCACACGTCAGAAGCCAGACAGACCTAGGCATTCAACCCGAAAGAGAGTACAAGGACGAGGTGAACTGAAGTCAGAAACAAACCGCAGACAGGGGTGACGCGGAGCTACTTCTGGCCCTGTCCAAACAACGGACAAGAGACTGCGTCGCTCGGCCACTGCGAAGTCATCACACAAAATGCAGGGAATGACACAGGTAATTACCCAACGTGTTCCAAGCAGAAAAGACCCACCGTAACGGTGAGAGAAAAGGCAGGACAGCAGAGTGTATTAGGATGTCATTTTCATAAGAAAAATACAGCTTTGTGACAAGTTAGGGAAAAAAAATCTGACAAGAAACGAAAGTCGATGGCAGTTTAATTTTCCTCTTTGCTCCTTTGTGTTAAAGTTTTATATAAAGAATGTGGATTACTTTCGTAATCAGAGAGAAAGCAAAACCGGTTTCTTAACAAAGAAATAAAAGCAAGTGCACTGAAAACAAAAAAAAGTATATCCACACCCTGTGCAGCCACCTAGCGTGGCCTGGACCCTGCAGGAGGTGGAATTGGCAAGGACGCCTCAGTCCCTTGACCGCTCCCTCAGGCTTCAGCTGGACACGTCCGCAAGTGGCCAAGCGGGGATCTTCAGGAAGGAAGGACTCCAACCAGATGGGCACCCCTTCCCCAGGCAGGGGAGCCCTGTGCACCCTCTGGCCCCTGGCAAGGTTGAAAGCAGCACCCTTGCCCTTACCTGCTTCAGTTACACTTTTAAACCAGTCCAGCAGCTTCTCCAGGCAGGTGTCATCTGCCACGGGCTGTCTGGGGTCTGCCAGCGCAGCACAGAGAGCCGGGAGGAGCTGCGAGCACTCGGGGTCCATGGCTTCCTGCAAAGGAAAGGTCAGGGCGAGGCGCCACCAGCCCTGGTCACAAGCAGCCCCCAAGGAGTGCCAGGCGGGATGGACGCACAGCCTCAGCCTGCATGGGGGAGGAGGCCAAGTGCCAGCAGGCAGGGCCCTGAGCCACGACACTGGGGCTGGGAGGGAGTCAGTCTGGCGTCAACCACCTGGCCTTAGGCGCTCAAAGCTGCCGACCTCGACCCTGGCAGAAGGACAAGAGCCTGTCGCTCACGCAGGCTGCGGGTGGGCCAGTCACGGGGTGTGGCTACGTTCTGGGGTAGCAAGGTGTACAGGGCAAGCGTGTCTCTGTCTGCGCTGGAAGGTCAGTCGGGGTCAGCCTGCCTGCACCCCAGAGCCCTTCAAGCCAGCGGACTGTGCAACAGGAAGGCCAGGCCGGGGCGTGCACCTGCGCGTGGGGCCTGCACGGGGGTGCTCTCGTGTAGACGCATTAGCACGCACCCCAAGTGCGATAAGTAACCTAAACGCAGCCTGGGGTCAAGGAACGCTGGGTGTGGGGCTGGGGAAGTGGCCTGTGGCTCTGTCGGGGTCAGGAGGTCTGCCTGGGCCAGAGTGTCCGTCTGTGCACCCGGACAAGGCTAGGTCCCTGCGGAAGAGCCCTCCCTGTAACACGCCCTCCGGGGTCAGTCTTAGGCCTGTGGATGCCGCGGCGGGCGTCTGGCCCGGGCAGCCCAGAAGGTCCACACAGAGCAGGGGCCAGCAGCCGCGGTGGCGCTGGGACCACGCCGCGGCCGCGCACGCGGGCCCAAGATCCCCCCGCCAGCGCCCTCTCCCTCGCCCTCGCCCTCGCCCGGGGGTCCCCATCGCGTCCAGCCTCGGAGACCCCGACCCCCCGGCGCGCGCCTCACCAGCTCCGCGTCCGTCCGCCGCCGCGGCTCCGCCCCCGCCCCGCAGGCCCCGCCCCGGGACGCGCCACGCGCCGGGCCTGGAGGGGGCGAGGCCCGGGTAGGTGACTGTGGGGGGCCGTGACAGCTCCCTGGAGACCTCGCTGGGAGCTCACAGGTCCGGACTGGGGGGTAGAGCTAATAGGAAAGAAGTTGGAGACAAGTTGGCGCCGAACCGATCGCTCCGACCCAACACCTCCCCCCGCCCCGGGACACTCAGTGGTACGTGCCTGAACGACCGACCGGCCTTGCGCCCGGAAGGCGGGCCTTCCGCGGAAGGGGTGTGGCTATTTTACAGGAAGGGGCGTGGCCTACCCGGGGACCCGGAGTCCGGGAGGGCGGCACGTGCCGCAAAGGGGCGTCGCCGTCCTTGAGGCAAAGTCTTTGGTCCTTTGGCCTGAAAACTGGACATCTGGGGCCCTCGGCCGTGTGCCAGAGGTTCTCAAGGCCAGTAGATAAAAATATAAAAAGAAGGCTCGTCTTTACAGAGAGTTTTTAAGCAACATTTTGAGGGAAACACCGGGTATAAGGAAATAGAAAACAGAGCTCCTATGGGCATAAAATAGAAAGGGAGCTTTAAAAACATTAATTTTGACTCTGGCTGCTGTGACTCAGTGGATTGAGCGGCAGCCCGCAAAGCAGAGTAGCCGTGTTGGATTCCTGGTTAAGGCATGTGCCTGGGTTGCTGGACAGGTCCCCACTAGGCGGCACGCGAGAGGCAACCCTCCCCCGTAAATATTTTTCCCTCTCTCCTTCCCATCCCTTTTTCTCTAAAAATAAATAAACAAGATATTTTTTTTAAAAAATCATGAATTTTGATGGGGGGGCCACTTCAGACCACCACTCTTCCTGATCCTCGCCCTCCTGCCCCAGAACTACGCGGGTGAAAAGGTTTGAAATGCACGGGCGCCTGCCCTGCCCTGAGATCCTTATGGTAAAGTGGGGACGCGAGTCTTCGCCAGAGTCAGTCGTCCTGGAGGAACCTCTCGGCACTGTGCTGAGTGCCGCAAGCACCATGAACTCGGCTGATTCAGCAGCAAGCCTAGGACGGTGGGTGCTGTCGCCGTCCCTCTGGAAGAGGAAACTGAGGCACAGGGAGGCTCCCTCCCACGGTCTCACAGCGACTTGGGTAGGAGCAGCTTGGGTTCAGACCCAGACAGTCTGGCTCTCGAGTTACAAGGCCCACAATTTCTTACCAGAAACATGGGGGAAAATGATGCCCCTCTCAAAACTGTTTAGGTTTTAGTTGTTCAGGTTTAGGTACCCATGCGCTGTGTATGAGATAACAATCCCAGCGGGGCTGATGCCGCCCCCCATCCAGGCGTCCCATCCAGAGGTGTCCAGCCTTTTGGCGCTTCTGCGTCACACGGGAAGAGTTGTCTTGGGCCACACATTAAATGCATTGCAACACGTAATCACACAAAAAAAAATCTCATCATGTCTTAAGTAAATTTACGGTTTTATGCCAGGCAGCATTCGCAGCCCACAGGCCACAGGTTGGACACCCCTGCAACCCGAAGTATTGGTCGTTCTGCCGGGAAACACACTGCAAGTGGAATAAACACTTCACAGCCTCCGCGCAGATGCGTGTCGACAAATGGGTTGAGGTTAGGACAGATTTTGCCAACACAGTAATTATGCGAGCTTTCCAAAGCTCTTAGCATTCAGCAGGGCAGATAAAGAGCCGCGGTCACGTGCTGTCTCTATGATCGAAGGAGAAACAGTGAATGTCAGCTGACGCACGCAGCGCAGGGAGTCCGCGCAGCCCCGGGAGTGGGAGAGGGGACTCGAGCCGCACGAGAAACGGAGCGAAGAGGTCCCGGAGACCCTCGACCGGGGGAGGCTTCGGGAGCGCGGCCTGTCGGCCCGCCGCGGTTGCGGCGCACGCGCGAGTCGGCGCCACATCCGGGGCTCAGCGGGCGCGCGCGGTTGCCATGGCAGCGGGGTCGCGGTAGGCGCACGTTCGGGCCCAGGCTGCTGGCGGCCCGGCGGCCCGCGGAGCCCCGGAGCCGGACAGCCGCTCCCGCAGCGCTGAGGGGCGGCCGGGCAGCGCCGTCGCCATGTCGCTGGGCACCGGGGACCCTGCTTCGGAGACGGTAAGCGCGGGTGGGCCGGCGGGCGGGCCTCCTGGCTCCATCCAGTTCTCCCGGTCGGCCTGCCGGGCGCGGGCCGGGGGAGGTGGGCGCCGGTGACAGCTGCCGTTGTTGCTACCGCCTGAGAGCTGCCGGCCGGGCTTCGCCGCCCCTTGCCCAGCCTCCGGCGCCTCTGGATCCCGCCCGCCCTTGCACAGGCCGCCGCTTCCAGGAAGCTCTCCTGGGCGCAGCGTCCTCGCCCAGGCGCCGGCGATCGCGGCCCGCGGTGGGGCGGAGCTCACTGTGTGAGTGCCCGCCGGCCCAGTGCCTCCAAGTCCCGGCCACGGAGGGGGCGAGCAGCCGAGCAGTCCTGGAGTGAGGGAGGGAACCCCAGGCTGGAGGACAGAGCCCTGCCCAGCACCGATCAGAGAAGGCTTCCCGGAGTAGGTGCCGCCCAGCTTCCCTCCCCGCTGGTCAGGAAGAGCCGTCTCTCGGCCCTCCCTTCGCCCAGGGCTATTGGCCCACAGACCACCTGCGGAGGTGTGTGTGAGTTCCCTGCGTCCGGGCACAGGGAGAGCTAGGCAGTCGGAGGCCGAGGATGGAGACTTGTCAGAAGGTGGAAACTGCACCTGGCTGCAGGGGCCGGCAGGTGGGCTGGGAGGGCCGCTTAGATTGGGCCTCAGGAACAGGCGCTCTGAGCGCCCATGTGCCTGGAAGGTCTGCAGCAGAGGGACCCGCAGTGCAAAGGCCCTGAGGTGGGAAGCGGCAACGTGCTCCAGGGCCCCAAAGAAAGCTTGCTGGACCGTCTGTTGCGGGGAGAGGGCGTGGGTGGGGGGCGTGCAGGGGGCCTGGCCTGTGGAACCTCACACACCCTGCGGGGAGTGTGAACTTTTTCGGGACCCAGTGGGAAGTTTCTGGGGGGTTCTAGGCAAAGAGAACCTTGTTCCCTTTGGCAGTGCAGAGCGGCACCTACAGAGCTCACCCAGAGGAGGGCTCAGTGCCGCGGGCCCCTGGGAGCGGCTGACGTTGCCTGTTTGTCCTCTAGGCACGGGCCCTCCCTCATCGGGAAGACCTGCCCATGTGTCTACAGGCTACAACAACTGCTCCTTCATCTTTGAAAAGTAACTTAAGTGTGATGGTAAAAATAATTCATGCCCATTAGAGAAAGTTTGGAGAATTACCCGTAACCTCACTACCTACAGAAAACCAGTTAATGTTTGGTGTTCCCTTCCAGTCTTTTTCAATGCATCTTTTTTCCATACAGTAAATCTTTTTGTTAAGATTTTACTTATTTATTTTTAGAGACAGGGGAAGGGAGGGAGAAAGAAAGGGAGAGAAACATCCGTTTGTGGTTGCCTCTCACGTGCCCCCTAATGGGGACCTGGCCCACAACCCAGGCCTGTGCCCTGACCGGGAATCGAACCAGCGACCCTTCGGTTCACAGGCCAGCGATCAATCCCCTAAGCCACACCAGTTAGGCCTTTTTCCACAGTTTTAAAAATTGAGACATTTATATTGTCTTGTGACCTTTGCCATTTAATTGTTGTTAGCGTTTTTGCCATATCCACACATTTTCAAGGGCGTGATTTTAAAAATTCTGACCTGTGAATATCCCCGTTTTGTTGATCCATTCCCCTGCTTTCGCTCTTCCCCATCCATCTTTCGCTGGTAGAAATGCCCTTTCGCCCGAGTTGGTCAGGGCCCTTTCACAGCCAAGCTCTGCAGGCACAAAGACGGGTCTCGGCCGGTGGAGAGGCGCCCCCAGCTCTCTGGGCACCCAGGGGACTGAGCCCGTGGCCCAGGCTCACAGGAGCTTCTCTGCTGAGCTCAGCCTGTTTCTCCAGACGTGGGCCACTGGGGGGCAGGCTCTGTCCGGTCTGCCCAGAGCTCCCACCCCTCGGACGGAGCGGTCTCCGGGCTTGCTCGGGAGCTTTGCAGTGTGCTCGCCACGTGCAGGGACTGGGGTATGGGCGGCGGGGGGGGGGGGGGGGCGCCCGCTGTGCTGTGGCCGTGACAGGCCCCGCAGGGCGCAGCCCCAGGGCGCCAGGACCACCAGTGATTTCAGGGCCAGCGCCTGTGAAAGCGCGTCAGCGTTGCAGCCTAGCCACCCCGGGCTCACCCTTGGGTCAGCAGAAGGCACTTTTTGGTCAAAGGCCCTTGGCCAGTCCCATTTTTACCCTCTACCGTGGCACGCACACGTGCAGGTGGTTCAGAGGCTGCTGTCACCGGCCAGCAGCTGACGGGTTTGCCCGGCGTGCAGCAGGGACCAGCAGCCTGGTGTCGGCACCAGGCAGTGCCGACCTCGTCGCTTGCTGGACCAGGGCAGGCCCTGGAACCAGGGGACAGGCCAGGGGTGGGGGCTTTGTTAGCTCAAATAATGCAGGTAGCTCTGAGCATGGTTTTTACGTGGTTTTGAGTTTTTCTTACAAGGACACAGCCACAGGTTCCTGGCACTTTGATGCGAAGGTGAATAAGAGAACATTTAAACAATGTGAAAAATGACGTACTTGTATCATGCTGTCCGCCGCGACGCTGGAAACGTGCGGCTCGGCTGACAGGCTGGGACGGCCAGCAGGGGTTTTTAGTTTGTGTCCCTGCCCATCTCTTCCGATGCCACCGAGCAGCCGGCTGCCCGGCCCCCAGCGTCCGAGCTGGCTCGGGCTCCGATGGGGGTGGGCTGCTGCTCGGGAAGCGTGGCTGCTGGGAGCTCAGCGGGAGCCTGCAAGGCTCAGTGCTCGCCTCTCTTCCCACAGGGAGAGGACAGTCTGTCGGCGGTCACCTTGGACTCTGACTTTGAGACGGTGAGTGTGCAGCTGCGTGCCCCGGGGCTGTCGGTTTCCTGACACGCATCCATCATGCGTGTGCAGTGGGCGCCGCCTTCAAGGGCTGTGTTTAGGCCTGCCATTCAAATCCCAGGTGCTAAGCCACGTTTGAAAAGTGGCAAGTGTTCAGTTGGAGTTGAATAACTGTGATTATAAAGCTTTTATCCAGAAGTTTGTCCTGAGAGGACTACAGGCGAGGCCGTTGACAAGTTGCGGCCTGGCATCTGGCGTCGGCCTACCCCTGCCCCCAGTTCTGACACCGAAGGAGAGGGAACAGGGCTCTGGGCGAGGTCGGCAAAGCCACCGCGGGAGAAGGGTGCTCTCTGCTCGCGCACAGCAGCGCCCTGGCCCGCCTGGCCCGCACGGGCGCCGCCCCGGGGAAGCGTGAAGTGCAGACAGCAGAGCTGGGCGCAGAGGCCCGCTGGCTGCCTGGCAGCCGCGGGGTTGGTTTGGAAAGCAGAGCCTGCTGCCTGCGCTGGAGGGGAGGGCGCCGGGTCCCCACGGGGAGAACCCCAGCTCGGCCGCGGCCCGCCCCCACCCCAGGGCACCGGTCACCTGCAACCCCAGCCGCCCCGGCGCTGCAGGCCGTTGTCTGAAGTGAGGGCCGCTCCCGGGTTAAGGTCTGCCCCTCGGCCCCACTGAGCACACGGGCTCAGGGTGCCCTGGGTGAAACCCCGCCTGCCCTGGACGGGCCCGAGCCTCCCCTGGGAACCGAGTGAGGGGAGCCCCTGCCAGGGGCGGGGGGAGGAAGCAGAGGCAGAAGCAGGCGGCGGGTGTGTCATCCCCGGCCTCCTGACCCCGAGGCGCCACCGCCCACGGTGCCTGCTCTCCGTCGGGGACCCTGCTGGTCCCAGCGGATCAGTCCTGCAGAGGCTCGCCCCCTGCCAGCCCTGCCCTCCGCACCCAGTCACAAGGTTCCACCCGGCTGAGCCCACCCTCGGGGACAGTCCCACTGGGTGCTCCAGGCCGAGGACAGCTGGGGTGGGCGGTTCACCACTTGTGCAGGCTCCTGCACCTGAATCTAAGGTCCCCCACCCGCTGTGTCTGCGATGTGACCAGTGCCACCGGGACTCTAGGGAGCCTGCCAGCCTGGAGCACGCACGGGACACGTGTGCTGGTGGCACCTCGCTGTCCCCGCTGAGCCAGGGTCCCCCCTCGTCGTCCTTACACCCCGGCCCGTGAAGAGGCCAGCGCGCAGCCTGGGGCCACGGGGCTGCCCGGCAGGCTCCAGCCCCCTTCCCCTGCTCTTCCTTTCAGAAAACGAAGAAGAGAAGCGTCCACAGACCCCCACCCACGTCACCGAGTAAGTGCACGGCCGCTCGCGCCCCGCGCTTCTGTTCCCCTCAGAGGGTGGTCTTCAGAGGCTGCGCTGCCCGTGTCCTGGGAGAAGGACCCAGGATGTTCTGTCCTTTGAGTCCTGGGGATCCCTGAGACGCGACCCGGCGGCCGCTCGGCTTCGTCTTCGGGGCTGGAGCTCGGGAGCGCACGCTCCTGGGGTCGCCGCCTGCCCGGGTCCGCGGGAGGAGGCCCAGCGGGAGGGCCGGCCCCACAGACACAGGGCTGCTTGGCCTTTGTGTTGGGTGTCTCCTGCGGATGGAGGGGCTCCGCGCGGTGGGAGGCGGCCAGACTGAGCGGCCATCCTCAGCCTCAGCATTTATACTTTAAAACAAATTTTCCATTGCGCTATTTCTTTACAACAAAACGTAAACCAATGGAAGCAGGCGTGCATACCATAACGGCCGCTGTCTGCGCGGGAGCGCTGGCTCCGGGAGCTGCGCCCTCACGAATCCCTGCCTTGTCGCCTGTCTTTCTCAAGCACACGGCTGAGGGGACGCGGGCGCTTCGCCTCTAACACCGCGTGTTCCCTTTAGAGTCACCGTACTGCGCTAAGCCGAGAGCGGCGGCATCCTGGAGGTCCCTGCGGACGGCAGCGAGCTTGCCCCTCGGCAGCAGAACGACCCTCAGCCCGCAGAGGCTGTGGCTGGGCAGTTCAAAGCCAGGTACGCAGTGTCCCGCAGACACCTGTGGGCTCGGGGAGGGTCGTGGGCGTTGAACGCAGTGATCGGAGACAGAGTTTTTGAAGGGGCTTGTTTGGATAATTTATGAATCTCCTAAAAGACCTCGAGCCTCCTAGCTTTTAGTGACAGCTGCGCATCGGTTCTGATGGCTTGCGTGTGCGACGCTGCCCTTTGGGGTCTCGGGTCGTCAGCACGGCTGGGGTAGTGTGTGGAGCCAGCTCCGACCGGGCGCCAAGCTGCTGGGTCGTTAGGGAGTCCATGAGCCGGCCCACGGCACGTGGGGGCGGCGCAGGCCGCGCCAGGGCTTCCCGGCCCCTGAGGGCCAGCGGCTGCAGGCGGCGAGGCCTGGCTAGGGAGGCAGAGCCCCTCGTGCTCACTCGAGCCGCTGTCCCGTTACACCCGCGCACGTTCCGAGCAGGAAGTGCGGCCCCGCCCCCGAAGTCAGGCCGCCCCGTGGAGCACGCGTGGACCCGCCCCCCGGGCAGCAGCCCCAGGCACCTGACGGAGGCGCTGAGGGCGAAGCGGCCAGACCTCAGGCGTTCGGCCAGCAATGGTGAGCACGTGGGGGCGCGGGCGAGACCGCGGAAGGAAGAGGGCGGGGTGTCCCGAGGACCGTGCCCCGGCGCGCCCACGCTGCCCCCCAGGAGCGGCGCGCCCAGTGTGCACAGTGACACCGCCCTGGGCCCCACTGGCCCCTGCCCTTGAGGTAAGTGCGTCCGCAGCACTGGAGACGGGCAGCCCAGGCAGCGCCGAAGAGTCCGGGTCGCACCCGGCAGACCTAGCCGGTCACCTCCCGCAGCCGCGGGCACACCCTGGGGCCCAGGGGCGGGCGCCCGAGAAGGCAGGGCGCGCGGGCGGTTCGGCCGTCCGAGCGGCGGCGGCGGCTGTGCCGCGTGTGTTGGTGTCCGTGCCCCGTCACTGCGGACGGGTAGGCACGCCCCCGTCTCAGCCCCGCCCCTGCCCCGCCACCCCCGCAGCCCGATCGGTGGGATCGGGGGCTCGGCCGATCGGGGGCTCCGCACCTCCCCGTAGCCTCCGCCGCTCTCCGTTTCCTTGAGGACACTATCGAGATCGGACTGAAGGCACTGAAATGCTTCTGCTCTTTTTTTTAAGGATGATATTATTAGCTTCCAGGTTTTTCTGAAGGTACAGCCAAGAACCCTTCCTCCTTTTCGGATCTTGTAAGGGGCTTGTGTGTCTCCCCCAGGTCACGTCCCGGGGACCCCCGCCTACAGAGAGAAGGAAGACATGTATGACGAGATCATCGAGCTGAAGAAGGTAGCGCCCCCTCTGTCCCCTGCTGCCCTTGCACAGCGGCCGCCTGCCCGACCGCGAGGGGCAGTCCGAGCTGCGTGGGGCGCGAGCCGTAGGATGAGCCCGGAGTTCGCGCCCCGGCTGGTGGCCCCGCTGAAGGCAGCCCCAGCGCCCGCTGCGCCCGCGCGCCGCCTCCCCTGCGAGTCCGGGGGGCGAGGCGACCTCCAGGGCCCTTGGCGCCGAGAGGCAGGCCTCCTGTCGTGGCCGCTGGGCGTTCCGTCCCGGCGACCTCCCGCCCGCCTGCTTCTCTGGTGCCGAGGGGGCTCTCTGCGCGTGCTCTCGCCCAGCTGGCCGGACAGGGGCTCCGCGCGCGGGGCGCTGTTAGCGGGGGGTGACGCTGAGACGCGGAGAGGTCACTGGTCTGTCCAAGGGCAGCCTGGCCTGAACCAGGGCGCCCGTCGGGGTCTCTCCCCCCGTGCTGTCTCCGGCACGGCTGCCGGGGCCGTGCGTGCGCCCGGGCCCCTGGCTGCTAAGTGTTTGGGCGCCGCTGCTCTGACCCGCTGGGCCTTGGTCGAGGGTGAGAATTTTAGGTGGACATCAGCCTTCACTGAGTCTTAGCGACAGTGTCCTTTCTTGCACACACGTGGGAGACGCCATGCGACCTCGGCACCTGCTGGACGTGCTGTTGGCGGCTGTGGCTTGCAGAGCAGCGTCTCCGTAGGGGAGTCGTTAGGGTGCGGCGTGGGCCTGCACCCAACCGGCCCGGCCCCCCCACCCCACCCCACCCCGCGGAATGGCAGCCGTGCCCTCGGGGCCACTCACGGTGGCACCCGACCTCCGCCCCCCGCCGCACGCGGGCCCTGAGAGGGAGCGGGCGTTTGTGTGCCCGGTGCGTGTGCATGTGTGTGGTCCTGTCTTCCCACAGTCGTTGCACATGCAGAAAAGCGACGTGGATCTGCTGAGGACGAAGCTTCGGCGCCTGGAAGAGGAAAATGCCAGAAAGGACCGGCAGATAGAGCAGCTTTTGGATCCGTCCCGGGTGAGTCCCTGGTCCCTGGCCCGCGGCGGTGCCTTGGCTGGAGGCGTGGCAGCCGCAGGCCCCGCTGCGGGGCAGACGGTGGGGGCGCAGGGGGCCTGAGCCGCAGGCAGGGTCTCAGCCGCGTGTGCTCCCCCCAGGGCCCGGACTTCGCTTGGACTCTGGCGGAGAAGAGGCTGGACCCGGGCTGGGTGAGTGTCCTCCGCAGCAGGACGGAGAGCCTGCCCGCCCGCGCAACGCCTCGCCCTGACTGAGCCCACAGAGGGGGGGCTCGGGGCCCCCGGCCCGCCAGGCGCTGCCGCCCCCACGGGCGCGGGGCACTTCCCCACGGCCACCGTGTCGCGCTCAACCGGCGGCGCTGATTTAAACCAGGAGCAAAGCAGGAACGGAGCGAAACCCCAGCACACGTGCCGACAGCGTCCCGCGTTGTCTAGTAACACAGAACAGGCAGGAGGAGACCCACGGCCGCGGCCGTTGCATGACGGGCTGTGGCGACAGACGGGCTGCTGGAGAAGAGGCGCTGCAGCAGGCAGTGCGAGTCAGGGGCACGTCTGAACCGCGGACGCCCCAGGAAACGGGGGGCGCACGGTTGAGCTGAGCGCAAAGAATAAAGCCACGCTAACGAGCGGTTCACGGGGCTAAGACAGACCCTGAAGACGGGGCGGGAAGGGTCCGTAGGTGGGGAAGGGCTCCGAGGCGGGATGGGCGCCGCTGCGTGGCTGACCCGCCCTGTGAGCGCAGCCCGGGACACGTCCACACTCTGCCGGAGGAACCCGTGTGCCCCAGGGGAGCCGTGCTTCGCTGACAGCGCTCCGGCCCCGCAGAGCGTGGGGTGCACGGTGCCCCCGGCTCTGTGCGGTGGGAGCCTGGGTCCCTGGTTTCGCAGCCGGCACCGAGGCTGAGAGGCTGGGCTGGCAGCGCAGGGCCCTGCGGCCGGGCCGCTGTCCCCTCAGGCCCCAGCGGTGAGTGCCCGGAGCTGCCGAGCACGGAGCCCCGTGCTGTGAGGTAGCGACAGAACCACAGGTGACAGAGACCGGGAGGCACCTTGCGCTCGGGACAAGACGGCACGCGGGAGTGGGAGCGCCCTGCCCGGCGGGCTGGGACGTCGGGCCGCCCCTCGCCCACGCCACTTTCTGGGACTGTCCCCAAGAGCCCTCCACACCGCTATTGACAGCTGCCCGACTTGGGAGGGAAACGCAGGAGAAGCCTTTCCAGCTGGAATCCCGCGATCTCCGGGGCAGAGATCCTGAAGAACACGGAGCCGCAGGGCTGTGTTCCGCAGCGTCGGGGGGCGTGGGCGAGGGTGTGGGACCCTCCAGGGGGCGGCGCCCTTGGGGGAAGGCGCTGGGGTCGGCTGCACGGAGAAGTTCTGGGTCCTGGGGTGTCTGCGGTTTTACTGTCAAACTGCCCCCGAGGTGGCTGTGAGCTGTGACGGAGCGCCGTCCTCCTGCCGTGTCCGTGCAGCAGAGACCCTCGCACGGGGGCACGCGGCTGGCGGGGGGGCCGTGACGGCTCAGGCGCCGCGGCCCCGCCGCCCGGGCCCCGCGGGGGGGGGTGACGTGGGTGGGGACCGGAGGCACGGGCTGCCAAAGCGGCGACCACCAAGTCCACGGCTGCGGGACCTGGAACTCGCGTGACCCCGTGCCGGGGTGCCGGGGTGCGCACATGTGCGAGCAGGCGTGCGGTGGCTCCAGGGAACACGCGCGAAGCGGGTCGCAACGTTTGGTTGTGAGCAGCGAGGCCAAAGGCTGTGGTTTGACTTAGAACGTGTTCTTACAAGAAAATGTACTCATCTACTACTAATACAACTTCGACTGTCCTTAAAACCCGATTAAAAAGTTGCCTGGTTCTTCAAAAAGGAAGGGATGTTCTGCCAGGAAGGCGGGTGCCCCCTCCCCCGCGCAGTGATGCCTTAAGAGAGAGAAGGGAGCTGTGCGGGTACATCGGGGCCAGGGTCAGCTGCGAGGGACACTGACCCGGCTGGGGCCGGGCGGTCTGGCTCCCGGGGAAGGGGCCGGCCGGGGAGGCTGACGCGACGCATGGTTCTGCCGCAGGTCGTCAGCGGGCTGAGGCAGAGGGTGCTGAAGCTGGAGCAGCAGTGCAAGGACAAGGACGGCACCATCAGGTACGACCGCGGGGCCGTGCCGGCCGCTGCCGCTCCGCGTCCCAGACGGCGGCTTGCTGCCCGTCCGCCTTCTCTGTTGCGTGTCCCTGGTCCCAACTTCATCTTTCCACCAAAAAAAGCAAACATGAGCTGCCTCCCTCGGATGTCAGTAAGGAGCAGAATTTTCCTTCAGCCGCGCCCTGTTCCTGTAGGACACGCTGTCTCTCCGTGGCCTTTACCCCCAGCGTGAGCTCGGTGATGCTTCGTCTCGTCCCCCGCGGCCCCGCGGGCATGCCCTGCGGCTGAGGGCAACGCGGAGCCTTCCCAGCTGGGTCGGGGTTCAGTGAAGGGAACCCCGAGTTCGCTTTTCCATTGCCTGTGTCTCCTCTCTTTACTGTAATTTCCCCGTCTTTGTTTCTTGCTGAAATTGTCAACTTAAAAAATGTTATTTGCTGGTTCCTCCTGTGTGTGAGAACCCTGAACCCTGTCACTTTCTCTGTTAGGGGCTTTATGTAAAATCTGTTAGTGGCCGCGCTGCAGAGTTACGCTGATGGTCCAAGGGGAAGAGTAGTTCTCTGTCCTCGACACAACTTCCACCCCGCCAGGCGTGGGCTCTGAGGGCAGCCGCCTCCCACTGCCCGAGGGCAGTGTCGGAGTCCGTCGCCGCCCCTCCGGAAGCGGCCGGTCCCTCCTGGACAGGCCCCGTGGGTGGGAACACGTCTCCGGGGGACGCTTTGCCTTCTCCACCTGGGATCGCGGGCACTGTGTGCTGACCCTGAGCTTGGGTTCGCAGCAAGCTGCAGGCCGACATGAAGACCACGAACTTGGAGGAGATGAGGATCGCCATGGAGACGTACTACGAAGAGGTGGGCGCCTTCTGTCGGGGCGGGGCAGGGGTGCTGGGGGACCCCGCCCTCCAGGGCCCACGCGAGGGGAGCCCCCGCACCCAGTGCTTACGCCCGCCACGGGACTGGGCTGGCCCCGGCTGCTGCTCGCGCGGGAAGGCCGGCCTCGCGCACGCAGCCCCTCATGCCTCTCACCTTGGTGCTTGCAGATCTACCGGCTCCAGGCGCTGCTGGCGAGCTCGGAGACCGCGGGCAGGAAGTACGAGAGCCTCGGGCGGCGCCGGTGCCATCCGCACTCACGCCCACAGCCGCGCCCCTGCCCCTCGCTCCTCATGGCTGTCGGCTCTGTTCCCATTGCCGTGGTCGCGGAGGCACGGCCGCCCCGCGGTCCTTGTCCAAACACGCAAGGGCCCCTTTCTTAGGGTCAGCAAGCACTGGTCTCTGAGACGCCAAACAGAGGGTCGTTGGGAGAGACTCGTAGGCCCCTGCCCCCCTCAGATGACACAAGGCTGCCCTGCCACAGAGCTGCCTCTGGGTGATGGGCCAGCCGGAGCGCCCCACTGTGCCAGGCACGCCTTCCCTCCCGCCCATCCCTCGTGCGTGCTGGGCAGTTTAGAAGGTCCCACACGCGGCGCCTCGGCTCTCTGGTTCCCAGGCCCCCAGGGGAGAAGAAGCCCAGCCTGAGGCGGCAGAGGAAGCTGAGCGGTGCCCTGCTGAGCCTGTCGCGGAGCGTGCAGGAGCTGACCGAGGAGAACCAGAGCCTGAAGGAGGACCTGGACCGCGTGCTCAGCAGCTCGCCCACCGTCTGCCGCAGGGAGGGTACTGCCTGCGGCCGTGCCCGGGGCCTGCGGGGAGAGGCCCCGCCCTGGTGCTGTGAGGGAGACCCCGGGCCGTCCTCCTCCCTCCGAGGCCCCCAGTGCAGGCACGGCCCCGGCCGCGCTGCTGCGCACCTGGCACCGTCCCGGGTGCAGGGGTTGGAGCCGTGAACGTGAGCACGCAGACGCCCCTCTGGAGGTGACAGCGTGTCAGGGATGGGGAGAAGCCAGCAGGTGTCAGGCAGGATAAATGCTAGGGGTGAGGTGAAGGGGCGAAGGAGGCAGCAGGGGTGGGGGGCTGGCGTGCACCCGCGAGCAGGGTCCTCAGGAAGGGCCCCCCAAGATGGGGACAGCCTCATGGGCCGCCGGACCCCGGGGGGGCGGGACCGTGGCGAGCACAAAGACCCCGCGTGTCCCGGCGTGCTTGGGGCCATCCAGCGGCCCGCGCGGGAAGCAGAGGCGTGGCGGGGCCTCCCAGAGCACAGGTGGGGGCGGGAGCAGGGGCGGGCGGTGACGTTTCATCATCGGGGCTGCAGGTGCCTGGACCCAGGCGGGGCCGCGGCGCAGAGGGGAGCGGGTTCGGGGGAGGGGACGTGTCAGAGTTGAGGGTCAAGGCCTTGGCAGAACTAAACATGGTGGCTGGCTGTCACCAGGTTGCCTGGGTGACACCAGAGTGGAGGGGGGGCCCTGACTGAGCCCCGGCGGTGGGGCGCTGGGAGCGGGCGGTGTCCGGGGAGCAGGTGCAGGGCCCCCGGGCGGCCCAGGGGGATGTGAACAGGCTGAGCTGCGTGCCAGACACCTTGAGCTTGAAGAGCCGAGTGGATGGGCCGGTGGGCGGGGCCTGGCTGGGGCAGAATCAGGGAGAATGCCCCGCGGAGGCCCGGGGGACACGTGTGAAGACCCTCCGGTGGGAGGGGCCGGCCCCTCATGGTTGAGAAGCCCTCTGAGCACGGGAGTCGGCAGCTCGACCCGGGGCCCCCGGTGGTGCCAGCCTGGGAGGGGCCCGCGGGGGGCTGCACGGAGCGCGCCCCTGACCAGCCCCTGGCTCCCCAGGCTACGCAGAGTGGAGCAAGGCCCGGCTGCTGAGACGGGTCGCCGAGCTGGAGAAGGTGAGCGGCACCACCGGCCTGCTGGGGGCCGCTCCTGGGCTCAGGCCAAGCGAGGTGGCCGGCGCTGCCATGGCCCTGTCTGCGCATGGGCACAGCCAGCCAGTGGGTGGGCGGGACCTGAGGGCCAGCACACAGTGGGCGCGGAGGGCCCCGGCGCCTTCAGAAACCCAGGCCCTGCGCCCACCGCGTTGGGCGGCTTCCTCGCCGCCGTGCGGGGCTCGAGTCTGCAGACGGCTCTGCTTGCCCGCACACTGAGCCTTTCCGCACGCCCGCCGTCGTGTGAGTTCCCAGCCAGGGGCCAGTCCGACGCGGATGGGCAGCTGGGGAAGCACTCAGCTGTCACCTGTGGGCTGAGCAGAGGAAACCGAGAGGGGGTGGTTTCCTGCACTTGGAGGCGGAAAACTGAGGAAGCTTTCACGATGGGTGGTTATCTTTAAATAAACCTCGTCTGGAGGAGGTGCGGGCCGGGCCGAGGGTCCCTAGGGTGAGCAGGCCGCGTGGTAGGGACCGCGCGACAGCGTCTAAGGAGCGCCGGTGCCGCCGCCAGGTGATACGCGCGACAGCAGCCCCGAAGCCCCCGGCTGCAGACACGGGCTGGTCGGACCCCCGGGCGCTCTCCACGCCCAGCTCCTCGGCACCCCCGCCGCCCGCGCCAGGGCCCTGCGAGGACAGCGAGCGTCTCCGCGGCGCCGTGAGGAGCCTGCAGGGCGAGCGGGAGGCGCTGCAAGCCCAGCTGCAGGAACGAGAGTGAGTGTGGTGCCCTGGAGGCCGGGCCTTCGGAGCCACCGTGCGGGCCGGGAGCGGGACAGGCGCGTCCCCCCACAGGAGCTGCGTGGACATTCCTGGGTGGTTCCGAAGCTGGTATTTAGGCTGTAAAACAGGCAGCTCGGGTGGTAGAAGGGAGGCATTGACTGGCCACATTACATCACTGAGAACAGGGGCGTTTAAGTCTCCACTGACTTCCGGTGGGAGTTCCAAATTCTTTTCTGCACCTTGTGCAGAGATTTGGGAATATGTGTATGACCTCTGGACCTTAGGGCATGAGTGCTGTGAAACAGTCGGTGTGCCCCGGGAGTGGGAAGGGCAGAGCCCTGCGGTCTGTGCTCGCCTTCTGCTCTCCAGTGCCCGTCCCCTTCTCCCGCCGTCAGCCGGGGGCTCCTCTCCCGTTGGTTCTGTCCCGAGTGGCCTGAAGCACCCGCCTCCCGAGACCACGGGTATCAGTCAGTGCGGCCCGGGGCTGCTCAGAGATGCCAGGGCTCCCGGGATCTCCTGCCTGCGCCTCCCGGCCTGAGGAGGGCGCCCTGCGCCGTCCTTGCAGCAGAGGCCAGGCCCCTCACTCCCGCCTGTCCTTCCCCTGCAGTGGAGGCATCTACAGAAGCGATAGGTTCCTCGTGAAAGTGAGTGTTTCAGGAAAAGTGTTGAAAATCTGGCTAGTCGTTTTGAAGGGGAAGTCACATCTGGGGTGACCTCTGAAGCCACCCCTCGCGTGACAAAGCTCCACGTCCGGAGCCCCCACCGCAGGCCCTGCTCTGCTGGCCGCTCCACGGTGTGGCCGCCTCCTTGTGGAGAGTCACGGGACCCTGGAAAGTTAGGAACTGAGCCTCAGACAGATGCCTCCTCTTAAAGCCACACCCTTCACCACACGTCACCTGTGGGACCAGGAAGGCCCGCGTGGACGCAGTTCTGCGGGGGGCGTCTGGGGACCCCGGTCCTCAAGGCCTCAGCTCCAGCAGCCCCCGCCCGCCCGGGCCACACGGCCCTCGGGGGCACTCACAGGGACTGGGTGAGGCACCTGACCGTGGGGCTGTGGGCAGGCCTGTCCCCACAAGATGGCGAGGCCGGGAGAGCAGGGGCCGCGGCGAGTCTGGCTGTGCCGGCCCGTGTGCCCTGCGCCAGGCTGTGGGCGCCCCGTGGCCTCGACGGCCTGGACGCAAGGCCTGTTCCTGGCTCCTCCCGCACCCTCTGCCTGGTCGCCTGTCCCGGGTGGGGGGTGGGGCTGGGCCGTCGCTTTCTCTGAGCGCCCTTCCTGCCTGGGGACCATCGGCGGGGCTGCGGTCCTCCGCGGTCCCCTGTGTCCCTGAGCGCTGAGCTGTCTCTGCTTCTGTGTTCAGCCGGGAAGTGACGCAGCTGCTGCAGGCGAAGGCCGACTTGGAGAAGGAGCTGGAAGACCTGCGGGAAGGAGAGAAGGCGAGGACGGGGAGAGAGGAGGCCCTGAGGTACGCAGGCGGCGGCGTCACCGAGAGCGTGCGCAGCCCCAGCGTTGCCTGCGCCCCCCCAGCTCTGCTCCCCCCCCCCCCCGTTCGGCCCAGCTGGAGGGCGGGTCGGGCAGCTCCCCCCCGCCCCGCAGCGCCTGTCACCCCGGCTACGCCCACCCCGGACTCAGGCCCAGCCCGCGCGACCCTTCCCCCCTCGAGACAGCGCTTCCCACACACCCTCGCGGCATCGTTGTCCACAACAGCCACAGAGCAAGAGTGACCCGAGTGCCTGTCCGCTGATAACAGAGTTTTAAAAAACCAAAGTGCGTCCACACAGGGGAATCCGAGGGAGCGCCGTTCCCACGTGCGTGCCCCGCGGGCGAGCCTCGCCCGCGGCGTCCCTGGACGGCAGGCGGAAGAGGCCAGGCGCCGCGTGAGCCTGAGACAACGCGCCGTAGAGGCAGGAAGCAGAGCAGCCGTTGCCGGGGCTGGGGGAGGGCAGCGGGCCGGGCCTTGTCTGGGGCAGTTCCAGAATCCGCCAGTGCTGACGGCTGCCCAACACTGAATTTCCTGAATGCCGCTGGGCCAGGTGCCTTAACACAGCGAATCGTGTACCCATAAAAGTGCCCCCCAAAGTAGATTCGAAATCCGAGCAGAAACATTTAGCGCTCAGAGTAATTAGTAAGACAGGTCACTGGACGAAATGCAAAGTCCTGTTTTCAGAAGAAACGTGATTCGATGTGGTCAGAAGGCTGCAGTGGAGGCAGGAAGGGCAGGTGCGCGGCGGAGAGCTGTTTTCACTCCGCCTGTGAGCCCGAAGCAAGGACGTGCGTTTCCTCCGCTCACACTGTTATTTCAGCCCCCGCCCCCGCCGAGTACCTGTCCATCACCCCTGCGGCCAGCATTTTCGGTTCCTAGCAGGTGCCGCAAGGGACACTCGGGGACCCGCGGTCCCACGCCCGACCCTGGAGCTCCCGTCAGGCAGGACACGGAGAGCAGGTGCCTGTCCCGCCTATGGTGGGCGGCGGCCGGCCCCACCCGCTCTGGGCGAGGCGTCCTTGCCCACTCTTCAGGCTGCCGTCCCTGCTGTCACACACGGGCACCTCGTACAGCGTGATGACAAGGGACGTGCCGCCTTTCCTCTTCCCACGTTAGAGAGGAAGTTCAAGCCCTGACCAAGAAGTTTCACGACCTGGAAGTGGCTAAGAAGACAGAAGAAGGCGGCCCCACGGAACTGACCCCCAAGGTACAGCCCCTGCGAGCCCTTCCCACGCCCGAGCGGCCCCGCCCCCAGCACCGGCTCTCCCGTCCCCTTCTCTCTTCCCACCGATTTCCCCAAGGCGTGAGCATCGCCTCCCGGCTCCTGGGCTCTGCACTGGCTGACTGGCCGGCCGGCTCTCGGGTGCGGCAGGCGCACTCTGCAGGGCCTGCGGGCGGGTGCGAGGCGAGCTGGGCGGGGTGCCCTCCCTTCATGGGGACGAGGCGCTCTGAGTGGCCGTGAGGGCCCTGCCAGCACCGGGCTCCCTGCACGTGAACTTCCAGTGGCCGGGCTGTGCCCCCTCGCCGGCCCCGTTCTCCAACCCCCGGGCTCTGCGGGCGCCCCAGGCAGGCGGCGTCAGTTACCACGAAGCCCCGGGACGAGGAACTAGGGCGCTGTGGCTGCGGTTGGCTCCAAGAGGGGCCGTCCTGCGGCTGCGACGGGTGAGACCACATGGCGGGGGCCGCCCACAGGGCGCGCGTCGTGGTGGCGGGGTCCACGCAGCAGCCCCGTGCTCCCTGTGCCGCGACCCCTTCCGCTTCCCGAGGGGTTTGAGCTGTCCCTGGGGACACTTTTTAGTCCAGGGGTTCTGTGCTTCCGAAAGCACCTCCTGTGTTGGCAGCGAGTGGCTGACAGACGTCGCCGGCCTGGGAGGGAGGCTGAGCTGCCCAAGCTCAGCATCTGTGTCTCATCCGGGACAGGCCTCCTCCCCCGCGGCGGCCCCCGCGGCAGCCCCCGCAGCAACGGCTCGCGTTCAGGCCTCCTCCTGTGCGTGCGCCACCACGGCTCCGCTACAAGGGAGGGAGAGACGCGCGCCCGACGCCGAGCCCTGGCGGAGCGCCGGAGAGCCCGCCCCTGCTGGCCGGCCCTGCCGGCCTTCTCTTTCTTCCCAGCTGGGAACTGTCTTGGCTGGTCCGTGAAGAACAGGTTGTGTGCTGTCCATGGGGGTGCGTGTCCAGGCGGCTTCTCTGGTGCCAGGGGTCACGTTCTGACCCCTGCCGAGCCTCGGTCCCCACGTCCGGGAACGTGGCCGCCCTGCGTGACAGTCCCATCTCCAGGAGCCCGTGCCGAGCTGGACGCCCCAGTGGGCGCAGCACCAGGGCCGAGGGCCGCACCGCGCTGCGCGTGGCGTCCGGGCGCCGTGGCCGTTCGGGGGCATTGTCACAGCTGTTCCTCCGAGGGGGCCGCTCACAGGCGCTGACGGGCTGGGCCTGGCCGCCTCCGGCCATCGCACACCCCGGGGCCCCCCTGCCCCGCGCCAGTGTGCAGCCCGCTCGCTGTTAAAGCTCCCACCCGCTCAGCCTGGGCCCCGCAGGGGAAAACCACTCGCCGCACCCAGCAGGGCTGGAAGCAGCGCTTTGCCTGTGGCTTCCTCCAACCCTGCGGAGGGTCCCGTGGGCACGGGGGGTGGGGGGGCCCAAGCACGTCCCGCCGCCAGCCGTGGGCAGGTGCCCAGCGGAGGCCACCTTCGCTCTGGCCTGCTCCCGGCATGCCCACTGGACTCCCTGCCGGCCTTGTCCCCTCGTGTCCCCCGCTGTGACTGTCGGGGGTCCAGCCCCACGCTGCAGGCCACCTCCTGTCTTAGCGCACCTTCGCCGTGGGGTCTGCCGCTTTCTCAAATTTCAGTAATTTGTTATCTGAACCGACCGCTACCTGCGTGCACGGCTGAGCGGCCGGGGCAGCAGGGGCCTGATCAGAGCCCCTTCCTTCCCCCAGGAAGTGCATCGGTGCCTGTCTCTTGCTTCTCTGGGGCTCAGGAGATTGGCGTGGTGTCAAAATCACCCCTGGTCTCCGTTGTGGTGCCTGAGGCCACCCGGAGGCTTTGTGTCCCTGTAACTGACAGGAACAGATGGGGCATCCCTGGTTTCTACTGACCCCCCAGGGTGGGCCAAGGGAGGCATCCCGGGCTCCCTGCCAGGTCCTGGCGCCAGGACAGCCGCGATCACGGCACCTCAGGCAGGGGCAGCCAGCGGGGCGGGGGGACGTCCAGCGGCCATCTCGGGGCAGCGCGGGCCCGCTCACCGGCGTGGGAAGGCGCCTGTGCACTGGGGTGTGCCCGGCGCAAGCCCCTCTCCCCCAGGAAGATCCCAGCGTGGCCCCCGCTCATCAGGAAAGGGACCCCCGCCCGCGCGGCTGCCCCGAGCAGCACAGTCAGAGCGCGGTCCGCTCGCTCTGGCACGAGCAGGTCAGCATAGGGCCTCTCCTGCCTGGAAGCCTCTCGCGTGAAGAGCCGGGCGACTGGGGGCGCGCTGCCCTCTATGCGGGCCCCGCCGTCCGCACTGGGTGCGTGCCCGGTGCCAGCGAAACACGAGGGGGAGGCAGCTGACAGGGAGGAATGTGCTCGCGAGCCAGAACTGGAAACCCTCCGCCGTCTGCCCTGCGTTGTGGGGGGAGATGCGCCTTTGTCACCGACCTTGCCCGTTCGCTCAGTGACGCAGGGCACGGGTGACAGACCCTCACCTCTCGGGGGTGCCGGTCCGGAGGTGTGCTAGGGCAGGTGACAGCGGCTGGGGGCCGGGCTCCAGGCGCTGCACCCTGGGGGCGGCCAGCACCTCGCGCTGGCTGTGGTGTCGTGGTCTAACAGGATGCGGACTTGGGCTGGTTTCAGCCTCTCTGGGAGGACCGTCTCCCGCGTGCGCCTCTGCCGAGCTTCCCTGTCAAGAGGTGAGAAACACAGTCCCCTGATCGAGAGGCATCCTAGGTGACAGCCGTGGATCTCTACGTGGTACAAACCTGTGTTATTTTGATTGTCACAATAGCAGCTCTTGCTTCTGCCTTGAACACTGAGCTGGGAGTCTGCCGCCTTTAACCCCAGAAGCCCCATGTTGTGCTACAGTGTTAGGCCAAAAAGGCCAAAAAGGAGCCCTGGAAAGCAGGTCGCCGTGCGGCCCACAAAGCTCCCAGGCAGCCACGTGGAGCTGGTCCCTCAGCGTGTGGCCGAGGGCGGGGTCGGTGGGAACCAGCGGGCAGGCGGTCATTGCCTCCTCCGCAGTCATTGGTCTGGCCTGGGCGGCACAGCCTGAGGCCCCTGCGCCTTCCCGGGCATGGGGCCACCCTTTCTGCCTCGATTCCCCACAGGCCCAGCAGCAGCCCCGGCCTCCCCAACCCGCCAGCAGCCCCTCCCCTGGGCACTCGGGGCCGGAAGCCAGTGAGGAGGGCTCGCCCCAGCCCCCCTGCGCCTGCGTGGAGCGGCGGAGGCACGCGGCGGCCCGCACCCTGCAGGCCCGCTGGAAGGCTTACAGGCGCCAGGTGAGCCGGGCATGGGCCGCGTTGTCGCCCAGCGGCAGACCCCTCCCCCGGGCCGTCTGTTCACCGGCCCCCCTCCTGCGCCCTGCGAAGGGCGGGCTGCATGGCAGGGGCGGCGGCAGGCGCGGGGGGGGCGGGGGGCAGGCGTGGGGGGCAGGCTCCCCGCCGAGGCACCGCCATGTCGCCCCCCCGCCCCCTGGGACGGTGGCAGGGCCGGGCCAGGAAGTGGACACTCGCCCTCGTGTCGATTCGTGACCTGCCTCTTTATTTCAGAAGGAAGAGGCCGCACTGCATGAGGTAAGCAAGGTCCAGCGCGCCGATTCCAGGAACGGCGAGGGCAGGGCGTCTCAGGGGGCTTGTTAGGTGCTTGTTTCCATCAAGTCAGAGCAGGCCCCAGCGTTAAGGCTAAAATACGTAAGCGATGTTAGCGTCTGATAAATGCCGGGTACCGCACACCCTCACCGAGCAGTCGGCCACTCATCCGCTCACTCGGCGCCAGCCCGTCGGGGGTCAGTTCTGCGTGAGGCGCCCGGCGGCCCTTGGGGCCCAGACATTCGGTCGAGCGGACAGCCCCCTGACAGGCCAGGGGCAGCCTCCTGCAGGCCCAGGGCCGCCCGGAACCGAGCCGTCGATCTCAGTCCCTGCGTAGTTACGAGGACCGTGAGAGCATGAGGTCGTGGCCCCCGGGGGAAGAGGGTCTGCAGCGGAATGCGGTCCCCACTGAGCCCTCGCTGCGGTCACAGCGGGGCCCGCGGCAGCAATGAGCCCAGCAGCCCGGGGCCGAGGGCCCGCTCGCGCTCCGAGGCCCGGTTCCAGGGGCCGGCGGCCGAGCCCCTTCTCCCTGGAGGGCGCTGCCTGGCGCCGTAGGAGGCTCTGGGTGACGAGAGAAGAGGCGCATGCGGGCGCCCATGACCCCACAGTCGCAGCGGCCACCCTCCCTGCTGCTGGAGCTCCCCAGTCCGCGCCTGCCAGCTTCCTGGGAAGTCAGCACCGCCTCTGTCCTCTCCCCCCACCAGGCGGCCACTGTGCTTCAGGCGGCTTTCAGGGGTCACCTGGCACGGGCAGAGCTGTTACCGAGCAAAGCGGGTGGTTCGGAATCTCCCAGCGCGCCCGGCCGCCCCCGCCAGGTAAGCCCCCAGCGGGACCCAGCCCCAGCCCTCAGGCTTCCGTGGCCGAGGGCAGCGGGCCCCTCCCAGCCCCCCGCCTGCCCTCCCTCCCCTGGCACCTCAGGCCACTCCGGTGCCTCTGGGGCAGCCCAGCTGCACGGAGCCTTAGGGCCCGTGCCTCCCAGGTGCTAGAAAACCGACTAACAGGTTCATCTCGCAACAAAGACAGAAGCTTAAAAACATAGCACAGACGTGAGCTTCCCAGAGCAGCCTTTCCCCTGTGAAGGCAACAAGACGCTCAGCTGCGGGGTTTCCAGGGCCCGGGGGTTAGGACCCCATGGTCAGGAACACACTGACTGTGTCCGCGCGCGAGCCTGCTGTGCGGAGCTGTGCCTGCGCCCGGCTCTCCGAGGGCCAGGCCGGGTGGCCGGGCGGCCGAGGGTCTCACAGGCTCTTGTCCTGCCGTTGCTGCAGAACTCTCCTGCCCCCGGCGCGCCGAGCCCCGCTGTCCCAGCCGAGGGCGACGCAGGGCCGGAGGCGGCCGTCACCCTCATCCAGTCCGTCCTCCGGGCACACCTGGCGCGGGTCGGGCACAGGTGAGCTGGCTGGCGGCCCCGCTCTGCTCTGCGTCCTGGGGAAGTGCCGGCCCAGGCAGGGAGGGCCGGGGCCTCAGCCTGTCGCCAGAGCGAAGGTCGCAGCCTGTAAAAAATGTCCCCCGTGCCATGCAGGTTGGGGGCTGTGCCCACGTCCTGGCCCTAGGGGGAGGGGCAGAGAGAAGGCTTCCCGCCAGGTAGCAGGCGGAACCCAGGGTGCAGGCGGCCACCGGCTCGTCCATGTGCAGTGCCCCTTCCCAGGGCCACCGGGGTCCAGGGGGCACCTGCAGCCACTCACCTGGCCCAGAGGCTCAGTGCCATCCCCGCTACAGCTGCCCGCAGGCAGGACTCCGGGCGGCAGACGCGCGGCACACCATCGGACTGAGCGCGGGGCACGGGGGCCCCCGTGGGGCTCCGAGTGCCCCGTGCACGGCGGCGCCTGCTGCCCCGGGAAACTCGCCCTCCTGGGCGCCGCTGTCGTGCCTCCACAGAGCTCTGCGCTCGGCCTGCGCAGCCCGACGGCGGCCCCACCGCTCATGGGCCTGCGGTGCCTCCTTGGGAGAGCTGGCCGAGTCAGAACACGTGGTCCTGGCTCCAGTCAGCATGGTGGGGTCCCCCGGGCTGGGGGCAGACAGTGGGGAGGCGGCGTCTGAGGCCCAACCTCCACAAGTGGCCGGGGGACTGACCGAGGATGCAGCGCGGCCCCCGCGCGGCACCCCTGAGCCAGGACGCGGGCCCGCCTTCGGGCCGGCGGCTCCAGGGTGCCCGTGAGCCTGGCCATCGGGGTCAGTGGCGTCTGCCTCTCCCCCAGTCCAAGGACAGGCACTGCGGCTTCTGCGAGGAGGACGTCCGCTTCAGCGACGTGCAGCGCGCCCTCCTGTCCCGCCCCCCCCGTGGCTCCTGACGGTGAGTCCGGGTCGCCATGCCTGTCGGCACCGGGGGCCGCTCGCCCTCTGAGGCTTCGGTCAGGCAGCTGCCACCCTCCCGGACGTGTGGCTGCGTGAACATGGCGGGGGGGGGGGCTCGTCCCACCTGTGGCCACCTGCAAACTAAGTCCTGTCTTCGCGGGGAGACGCCTGGGCCCAGCCTCCCCCTCACAGCTTCGTCCCTTGTCCCCTGGGTTGTAGGACGGGACTTGCTGCAGCTCACAAAGCTGCAGACAGTGGTTATCAGCGACTGGGGCCGTTCCCACCGTCCCCGGCCGGCCCCCCAGTGGGCCTCTGGGCCCGGGTGTCCTGGCTTTATTTGCAGCGCCCGCCGGGCTGTGTGGCCCCTCCCTGGGGCCAGGGCTTCCCGGTGGCCGGTTTTTTAATCGAGTCTCTGCTCCTGTGCCTCTTCCCGTCCACTACGCTCCAGAGTGGCCACTGGCGAAGCCTGGCACGGCCGGCACCGTGGGCAGACGTGCGGCCAGCCCCAGCGAGGGGCGGGAGCTGGTCCCCTCACGTGCACGGTGGCAGCTTGGGAATTGCTTTCAGGCCGTGCATCCAGGGCTCTGTGACTGCCCCGCAGACCCTCTCCGCCCGGGACAGTGACTGGGGGCCTCCATCGGCCGCGCCTGCTCAGGCACAGCCGAGCACAGGGGTCCTGTTGGGATCGGAGACCGTCGGGGCCTGAGGATGGAGCTGCGCAGCCTCGGCTGTGACAGTGCCACGTGGGGCGCTGCTCTGTGCCGTGTTCTCAGGTCAAAAGATGGAGCCCGAGGAGGCTGGGCAGGCAGGAAGCGGCGCCTCCGGCCAAGGAGAGCCCGGGGGAGGCAGGCGGTTTGGGGTGTGACGCTGGGTGAGCTCCAGGTGAAGACGCGGTGCTTCGACACGTGCGCATCTCGCGCAGCGACCGCCGGGGAGCAGGCTCCGGACCAGAGACGCTGGGGAGGCACGGCGGCCGGGACGGGCCCTGCGCGGCTCTGACACTGACCCCGTGCAGACCCCCTGCTTCGAGCTCACGTGTCGTTTCAGGTCAGGACGACAGCGACGTGAGCCGTGGGGACGCCGTGGAGGGACCAGCTCCCAAGGCTGGAGGGCCGAGGCCATGGGGGCCCGGCGCACTGGCAGCCCCGCGGCCCTGCCCTGGTGAGTGCGGCCCGGGGGCAGCAGCGGGAGGTCACGGGCGTGGAAGAAGGCGGCGCCCCCGGCTTGCAGCCCCATCCCCTCGGGGCCGGCTGGGGGAGAGGCAGCCCGAGTCTGCTCCATGTCTCACTCGAAATCCATGTTCGAAATCACGTTTAACCCGCTGCGGTCGTTTTTTCCAGCCCCGTCCGAGCTAGCGAGCTCTGGACTTCGATGCTCGCTGCAAAACCTCCCTTTGTAAAGCTCAGCGGCCCAAGATGATTTCAGGGACAGTGTGCAGGTGTTCAGAGCCCCAAACCCCTCGGGGACCTCGGACTCCCCACAGGGCCGGCGGACCCCGTGCGGTGACCCTGGGGTCCTGAGGCCAGGGCGGCACGTCTGCGGACCGCCTTCCCGGCACCCCTTGTGGGTGGGCGTGGTGCTAGGTGCGGCCTCGGCTCCGCCACACGGGGACCAGCCTGTGTGACAACATGCCCACCAGGCCCTGGGTCCATCTATTGTCAGAGCGTTTTTAAAGAAAAAACCTGACGATACCGTGAAAACTCCGCTGCAAGAGAAGTGTCTCTCTGGGGCTTAATGTTTTTAATTAAGTTTCCATTCTAGTAATAATTTTCTTGAAAGTTACAGAAAAGAAGCCGATCCAATTACACTATCAGCAGCGTGATGAGTCTTAATGTCCTTCCCTTTTTCTCACTCACATCTGTGGTTGGTCACTTCGTTACTCTTATCTTGACAAAGCAACCGGAGCAAGACCCTCGCCTGGGGCTGCCGGCAGGCTAGCCATCCTTGAATCCATCACCCCAGGTCCCCGGGCGCCATTCAGAGTCCTCTTTCCCGTCCTGTCCACAGGGGGGTCAGCTGTGGTCAAACAGCGTGGTGGACCCTGCCTCTGCCCCTGGGCGGGCGAGTCCTCACGAGGAAGCTGGTGGCCACAGGCGTGGAGCCTCCGCGGCCGCCTGGCCCCAGGCCCCCGGGGGCCGCTGCTTGAGGAGGCCCGAGCCGCCCCTGTGCCGGCAACACCTCACCCACCGCGCGGGTCTTGCCTTAGAAAGGCCCGAGTTCAGAGCTGAGCTTGCAGGCCACAGTGGGCGGGACTAGGAGGCAGTGAGGGGCTGGTTCTCAGGTCCGTCTGTCCTGACCCCGTCGGGGCGTGACCCTGGGCTTGCCTGCCAGGGAACAGAGGGAACACAACGCTGAGGCACTTGGTGGGACCAATCCCCCCTCTGGTTCGTTTCAGCTGAGCCGCTTCCCGCGGGGCAGCAGCCCCCGGCGCCCCCGCGCGCCGATGACGTCTGCTCTGACGACTCCGACGAAGTTGTCGTGGCTCCGCGTCCCACCGCAAAGGACGCCGCCGGCCTGCCCCAAGCCGTGGGGCCCTATGGGTGCGTCTCCCACTGCGAGGCGCTGTCCGGGGAGGGGTAGGCTGGGAGCACTGGCCCGTTGGGGGAAGGGAGTGCCTGCTCCACGCCACAGCCGCTCCAGCGCTCTGCCGCCCGCTCACTTGGTGTGGGAGGAACCCCAGTGCCTCGGCCTCGTCTTAGGGGAGTGCCAGCGGTCGCTCCAGGCCCTGGTCTCCTGCGCGGGACACGTCGCTGGACTCAGGGGCAGCCAGGGAGCCCCGAAGAGACCCTTCTCTCGCGGCAGCTGACAGCTGCCTGGCCCTTGACCCGGAAAACAACTGGGCTGGGCCTAGTCTGTCCGACTCGGGCCCGTGGACTGCCCGCTCACACTCCCTTCTTCCCTGTTTGCCCCACTGGACGGCCTGGGAACCTGGCTGACCTGGTGGCTGCCCCGTGCCTGTGTCATCCTCTGGGTCTGCCCCTGGCAGCCTGGCCCATCCCGCGCAGGGCGCCAGGTTCAGAGCTGAAGGCCCGGGGGAGCCAGCCGGCCAGGGAAGCGCTGGGCTGCAGACCCGCCTCCCGCGCCCCGTCCAGGACCCGGCGGGTCTGCGCTTCTGTCCACTCGAGCGGCCCCAGGCAGCGCGTCCTGAGGACACGGCAGCTCTGCACGCCCTCCAGGCTGACCCGGGGGCGCTGGCCACAGGCCACACAGAGAAGAGCGACACGAGCCGTGGACTCGAGTTTTCCTGGAAGGCGCCCTGGGCCGTGGAGGTGCGAACGCCAGCCGCGCCCTGGGGTCTCCTGGGGCCCAGGCGGCTGGTCTATTAAACACAAAGTCTGGGCACTACCTCAGTAAACAACACACCTCAAGTAACTCCACGGACACCCGGCGTGCCGCGTCAGCGGCTCTGGGAGCCTCGGGGTCTGCGCTTGGGCCCTGGGGGAACACCGTGGGCCGGGTGCGCCAGCCAGGCTCAGGGCCTGGGGCCAGCCTTCCCCAGGCCAGCCAGGCCGGCCGCGCTGCCCGCAGGCCCCCAGCGGGGCGCGAGGCCAAGGGGAGAGCGGGGAGGGGACTGGGCCAGGCGGGAACAGCAGCCCAGGAGAAGGGGCTGCGGCCTCGGGTGTCAGTGCCCAGAAGGCGGGGCCTGCGCGCCCGGTGGAGGAGGTGGCTTGCGTGGCCCGAGGGGCTGAATTTCGCCACAGCGCCTGCGCATCACCTGGAGCCCGGCAGCAGGGCACCCCCCACCCCCGTCTCATCCCCAACACCCTGAACCAGCAGTGACAGGATGTGACCTGGGGGCCTGGCCACCTGGGCAGCGGGGTGGGGCCTGTCGGCGGGTCCCCCGTCCTCGTGCAGGGCAGGTGCAGGTCTGCTGAGCACCCCCACAGCTCCTGGCGGGGGCCGTGTCGGGCCGCGTGGCAGTGACGCGAAGCCGGGCAGTGTGCGCGTGCGGGAGGGGTCCCCAGCCCCGCAGGCAGAGGAGAGGCTGAGGTCGCCGGGCACAGGCGGGCGCTGGCGGTGCAGGCAGCACCAGTGGTGGGGTGTTTCTGTACCGGGTGGTCCCCAAGAGAGGCGTGCGGTGGCTGGGAGCCGGCCCCGCCAGGACAAGGGGCAGGGGACCCAGGCAACAGAGAGGCCCCGGCACGGGGCAGGCTGCTGCGGCCGGTCGCCAGATGGGGTCAGCAGGGACTCGGCCCGGGGCCCTGGGGTCCAAGCTGTGCTGTCGGGTGGATGTCCGCGAGCCCCCAGGGAGGAAGTGGCCCTGGGGTCAGGAAGAGGTGGACCACCCAGCCCGGCTCTGCCGGGAGCAGGGCCGCACCGCCGGCTCCCTGTCCGCCGAGCCCACGCCGTGGCAGGCAGCCGCCAGCCCTGGGGCGCGCCGGGCGAAGTCCCGGACCCAACGGGCACAGCGAGGCTCGCCCAGAGCCCCTCCCGTGCCTGGAAGTTCCCTGCTGCTCCTCACTAGTGGCCTGGGTAAATAAAAGTCGTTGTGCGGCGTGATCGTCGTAATTGCCCGTAAGTGCGGCTGTTCTCATGACTTCCAGGTGTGGACGGCTGTCACCGTACTCGCGTGTTGCTTGCTGGGCTCCGGGCAGGGTGCTCGCTGCCCGGCTCAGTCCTCACCGTGAGGGGCGGCTGCCTCCCCGCGTCAGCCTGGTCCCCCGATGCCTCCGTCCCATCCCTCCCTATTCTCTCCTTCCCCAGTGAGGACCTCAGCATCAAGAACCAGGGGTGGGGGTGTTTCCTCAGGTTCTATTTTCTGTTTGTTTTAGGGGCAGGGAGCAAATAAGTTGCTTAGGAATCAAACACAGATGCCGATGACTGGCCAAGCTGATTTCTAGGAAATTGGCCGCCAGGCTCTCCAGCAGCTCCCGTCCTGGGGCGCAGGACAAGGTGTCTGTGGCCTCGTTGGCCGGCGCTGCGCCTGGCTGGGCCCTTTCACCCCGGGGGGAGGGTGTCTGAGCCTCTCTGGTGACCCGTTTGGGGCCGCAGATGTGCTGATCCCGTCCTGGCAGGCCGATCGCTGTGCGTCTCGCCGGCCTAAGGCCCTGCAGCTGCATTGGAAGACTCGGTGCTTTGCAGAGCAGCCGTGGGGCCTTCCGGGTCTGTGACAGCGCTGAGCGGGGTGTAATCAGACACCCCAGACACAAACAAGCCCGCCACGCAGCCTTCCGCAAGGCTGGGGCCCCAGGAGCGGGGGGTGGCAGCCCCCGGGGGGCAGGTCTCTGCGGGAGCCTGGCAGTGGGGAATGGGGTAAGGTCCAGCCTCGGGCCTCCGCCCCGCGGAAGGCGGGCCAGCCTGTGGGTGTAGAAATAGGCGTCAGACACACACACACAGGCACACATGCAACCCTGCTCCCACCCTCTGGGTCTGCAAGGAGCCCGTGAGCCTCATGAAACGGGTCATTGAGTGACCCCCGGGTCCTTGCCAAGGTGATTTGGGTGGGAGATCCATCAGAAGTCACCAGGGAACAAAGGGGAAAGGTCAGAACCGGAATCTGGTTCCTTCAGTGCTGCCTTCGGGTCTGGATCTTGAGTGGAGGAGGGGACCCGCCAGCCACCGGCCTTTGGCCACACCTGCCGCTGACGTCCTGGGAGCCCGGCCCTGGTTCCGGTGGCGGCGGGGACCTGCCAGCAGTCTCCGTGGTGCTGGGTCCTTTCTGAATGGGGGGACGGTGGGGGAGTGGCTCCTGAGCTGTGAGTTAATAGCCCAGAAAGCCCCGGGCTCCAAGGCCAGCGGCTGAGCCCTGCCAAGGCTCCCGGGCTCCCAGCGAGGAAGCTGAGTGTGGGCGACCTCTTTCTTCCCTGGCACGGGCGCCCCGGGGCTCCAGAGCGCCGCCCCCGCGAACGCGCACGTGCTTTAAATCGCAGACTGAAGAGGGGGCCGGGCCTGGTGGTCCTGTCCCATCCCCTCCCAGCCGCCCTGGGTCCAGGGCCAGGCCCTTTGGTCCTTCCTCCCCACACTGCCACCGAGGTCCTTGGCTGAGGGCCACTGCGAATGCCCCGCTGGTGCGCGCGCTCAGCAGGTCCCACGGGGAGCACTCGGGGTTCCCTGCCCGCCCGGCTGGGCCCTCCCTCCCCTACGCAGCCCTGCCCCCTGCCCTCCAGCCACACTAGGCTGTTTCCAGAAACGCGAGCCCCTCCCCCTCCCCCCGCTGGCCCCTCGCGCAGCTGCTCCCTGGCCAGGAACGTCCTCTCCCCAGCCAGCCGGCATGGCCCCGCCGCGGAGAGGCCCTGGGACCAGCCCCTCTCCCTTTGTGTTCTCACCGAAGGAGCTCCCTCCTTCTGGTTTAATATTTGCCGCACGTCTGCAACGTGCCCGGCTCCGAGGGCGGGGCCCCTTGTGCTCGGTTCATCTGTTTGCGAACCCGTCCCCACCAGGCCAAGCTCCGTGCACCCTGGAGCGAATTCCTTCACCCAGGAAACATCCACCTGCCCAGGGGCAGGGACCCTCACCCCGCGGGCAGACCGTGGGCTGGGCCCTCCGCCTGGGAGGGGCCCGGGAGCTTGGGGTGCGTGCGGAGGGGGCAGTGGCCAGGCCTCGGGAACCTGCCCTCCCCAACCCCACCCACCCGCCACCCCGGAAAACGGAGAGGCTGGGGCTGAGCCACGGGGAAGTGGGCCTTCCTGGCCATCAGCCCCGCCCGGGCACAGGAGGGAGGAGGAGAGGCCCGGTGGGGGCTGCAGGCGGGCCCAGGAGGCCCAGGAGTTCAGCCCTCCCTCACCGGGGGAAGCCGTGGGAAGAGGGAAGGCTGTTGGCTGGAGACTGACAGGCTTGGATTTGCATTTCAGAGGGTGGAAGGGCCGCTGGCAGCTGGGAGAGTGCAGAGCAGCTTGCAGGCCCCGGAGGCACCCAGTGAATGCTGCCCGCCCCCCACCCCTAGCGCCAGGAGCCCAGGGAGGCCAGGCCCCCCCGGAGAGGGGAGAGGAGAGTGCTGGACACCCCAGGGCCGCAGAGAGGGAGGGGCGGTCTGGCACTGCCCGAGGGGGCCAGCCTCAGAGGGCAGAGGTGGGGGCGCACCCCCAGCCCCCTCCTCTGGGTGGAGCAGGGAGGGGTGTCTCGGAGCGGAGTGTGCCCCTGGGCCCCTGCTCCCCCGTCCCGCCCCCCCAAGCCGCGCTGCAGAGCCAGCTGAGGTGTCGGGGGTGGGGGGCAGGGGCTCTGGGCTGACGGTCCCAGCTAGCCCATCCTGGCCAGGACCTGAGCCTCGGGGTCCCCATCTGTGAACCAGGGAGTGGGGCTGGCCCTGTCCCTGGGCGCCGTGAGCCGGCGGCCAGGGCCGGCCTCCCGCAGCTGGGGAGCTCTCCCAGCTCCATACACGGAGCACCTATCAAGGCCCCGGCCCCCTGAGGACATCCACCCCATCACGGCCTTGCTCCGGTCCTCACCCCTGACCCCTGCCGGGAGAGACGAGACAGAGGGGGCAGAGAAAGGCGACTTTGGACTTCATCCTGCTCCTGGGAGCCAGGGCAGGCCCTCCAGAGCTTCCCTGGGGTGGAGACAGGGTGGGGGGGGGAGGGGAGGGGCGGGGGCGGGGGCGGGGAGGGGCGGGGGGGAGGAGGAGCCCAGGGCAGAGGGCCTGGCCTCCCTGCTGCCCGCGCCCCAGCGGCTGCCGTGGGGGGACAGCCCATGCTGCAGTGCACGGCCCTGGCCCACCCTGCCTCCCGGGATGCCCCCCCCACATCCCTCCCCCCGCCCCCTGCCACACACCAGTGAAACAGGCGGCCCAGGGGCGAGGGAGCGAGGTTTGTCAGAGCCCGACGCTGAGTCCTGTCGGGTGGGACGGGGTCCCCTTCCCGACGCCGAGGGCAAAGGCCCGGCCTCCCCTGCACGGCCCCCGGGGCCGCCCTGAGGGTGGCGCCGGCTGCGCTCCCACCTCAGGCCCTGGGCCAGTCGCTTTGCCCCTGGGCTTCGCTTCCTCCTCAGTGTGTCGGGGCTGGGCGCCGCCCCGCGGTCTGCAGAGACCGGCCGTGCGGCCTGGCGCCTGGCGCACTTGTGCACGTGTCTGGGCTCTTGCACGGTCACTGTCCTCGAGTGAGAGGAGTGACCAGATAGCACTTCCTGTGTCGGGACGGGACAGCTGTCACGGGGAAGCCGGGCTGAGTGCACACCAGGTCCCAGGGGCGGCTGGGCTCCCAAAGGGCCCCTTGCTCCCCACGGTGTTCCTGGCCACTCGGCCGGGCCGGGTGGACGGGCTGGAACGCGGCCTCAGGGGACCTGCCCCGCGTGGGAGGAGGGTGTCTCTGTGCTTGCTTTTCATGCCGGTGTCTGTTCCTATCAGCCCTGGGTCCACCTCCCTCGGGCTGGTATAAAGGCTGCTGGGCGTGGGGCCCGGAGACCCCTGCATGGCTGCATGGCAGGAGCAGCGAGCGGGTCTGAGCAAGCAGCGCTTGTGTGCGGGGCCTGTGAGCTGGCTCCTCCGCTGCTTGCTCGGGGGCCACGCCTGCCCGTCTGCTGTGCCCAGGGGCCCCGGGGGGCGGTGCGGCTGCCAGCGGGGTGACCTCAGACAGGAGGGGCCGCTCACGTCGCCGCCCCCCGGCCCTCTCGGGGACCAAGCTCGCTGGCGTCTCTCCCAGCCCCCGGAGCCACGGGGCTGGCTCCCTCGTGGCAGGCTTGAAGCAGCGCTCCGTGGTCATCCTGTGGCCGGGCCCGCGCGCCAGGGCTCTGCGGTGAGCAGGAACTGGCCGGCGGTGCGGCCACGGCTGGACGGATGCCAGGGAAACCCGGCCCCCAGCTTTCTCAGGAGCTCTAGCTCCACGGAAAATATGAACCTCTTTGGATTGGGTCCAAAGGCAGGGGATTCCATTGTTCTGGCTTCCGCCCCAGCGTTGGGGGCCCAGCTCCCACTGGCCTCTCTCCAGGCTCCCCCAGGTCGCAGAACAAGGGTCCAGGAGCCTCAACCCAGCCACCCTCCTGGCCTGGGCGAGGGGCTCTGGGCAGTGCCTGGCCTGGCCTGCCCTCCTCCTTGTTCCAGATGCTTCTACCAGATGATTCCAAGTTGCTGAGACCTCAGTGCTCGGACTCCCGGATCCCTACGCTTCACTCTCGGGGGGCGCGGGGTGGAGACCCAAGGGAGGCCCTTTCACAGGCAGTCCCACCTGGGGGGCGGGGCAGACTCCCGCAGCCGTTGTAACCGTGCATCAGCGCCCCGCTCGGCACGGGGGCCGTGCTGTGCGGCCACCACCGCTGTCTACTCCGGAAGTCTTTTTGTCGCCCCAAAAAGAAACCCACAGGCTCCGAGCGCGGCCCCCCACACCGCCCCCAGCCTTTCCCCGGCCGCGTAGTGTCCGTTGTGCCGCTGGCCACCATTCGCTTCTCCATTCGCCAGCGGGTGGACTCGCGGGTGTTTCCAGCCTTCGGGCAGCGGGAACGGCGCTGCTGGGTGCTGGCGTCTCACAGGCTTCGCACATCCCTGCGAGCTCAGCGCCACTGTCCCCATTTTAGCCGTGGGCAGGGTACAGCCCACAGAGCACCTGAGGCATGGGCGTGGGACAGGTCCTGTGAGCAGCAGAGCAAGGACGAGCCCCGGGTTTCCACACAGTCCCAGAAGGTGGGTGATTCTCTGAGCCCCCCTCCCCGGGAAGTGGGGTCCGGCTGGAGGCCGGAGGAGATCATGGGTGTGGGCACTCGGGCTCCTAGCTCAGGGCTCTCCACTGGCCACAGCCCGGGCTGTCCTTCCTGTCCCCGTGGGCCGGCAGTACCGGGCCTTCCGGTCCCTGAGATGGAGGGGACAGGACACTGCAGCTCCAATCGTCGCCTGGGGCTGCTTCCTTTGCTGACGGAGGCTGAGCAGTTTCCCATCCGCTGCCTCCCCCTGAGTCACCCCTGAGTCATCGAAGGCTCATCCCTTGTGCTCCAGGCCGTGGCCAGCGCTGCGGACTGAGTCCTCTCTGACCTCTTGGGCCACGGGAGCCCAGTTTCAGGTCATCCCGCCTGCGGCCGCCCGCTCGAGGCCGGGATCTGGTCCCCTCACCGGGCGGTTCTCTTGTGTGTCCCGTGTGTCTCTGGCAACGGCGCGGACGGGCCTCCATGGCTCCATCCAAGGGGTAGGGCTCAGGGGCCAGCCCCCGCCACACATCCAGGACGGGCAGGAAGGACCACACAGCCGGTGCCGCCTTGTGCCCTGCGCCCACCCCCGGCTTTCTCCCTCTCCCTGTGGCACTGGGCCGCAGGAACCCCACTTTTCGGTTAGATGTGCAGGCGCTTCCCTGAGCTCAAACGGCAGCAGCTGTTCGTCTCCAGAGCCCTGGACCCTCCTTGTCCCCCCAGAAGGCATGTTCTGGGGCATTTCAGTGCCACGGGGACTTTCTCCCCAGCACTGGCTCCCACCCCAGCAGGTTCAGGGCTCAGGGTCCCCTCGTGAAGGCTCTGGCAGGGCTTGGCCAGAATCATGCGTGTGCCTCCCTCCTTTTCTCCACCTGCACCCCTTCATCATCCTTCCTCATGGACCCCCTTAGGAAAGGCGTCACCAACCAGACACGTTGCAAGTATCAGTGACAAGCTCCTTTGCCATTTGGTACCGGTCAGTCACGGAGCACCAGCCACCTGGAAGCTCCAAACAGCCCAGCACATGGGTTCCCTGAGGATTCTGTAACCAAGCACCTCACGGGGACTGCGGTCCCCGTCCTGGAGGCCGCGGCCTGATGTCCAGGGGTGGGCGGGCTGGTTCCCCCCAGCGGGCGGGGGTGTTACAGGCCGTGCTTCAGGCCCCCCTCCCAGGCTCCGGAGGCTCTGGCCATCTTCTTTGACTTGAAGACAATCCTCTCCATCTGCCCCTGTCTGTATAAGGCATTCCCCGTGCCTCTATCTCTGCGTCAGCGCGTCCCTGTCTCTCTCTTGCTACACATACACCGTCCTTGCACTGGGGCCTCCGTAATCCATGTGACCTCGTCTTAACTTGGTGACGTCTACAATGCCTGTTCCCAGGTGAGATGGCAATCACCGGCACCAGGATGCAGGACCTGGACAGATCTTTTCAAGGGACACAACCCTCCCCATTATACCAAGTTATCATTTCAGATAATGTTTGGGTCAGGTTTCCTGGCCATGGCGGAGGAAAAGGCACCGTTCTGTGAGGCTTCGAGGACCCTGGAAAGGGGCTCTGGGCCTCGTGCCTCCCCGCGGGGCCCCGGTGGGCCCGTGCGCCGGTGCTGTGTGTGAAGCTGGGCCGTGGGACCTGCTGTCCATAACAGGAGCCAGAAAACTGTGCCCTACAAGGACGGCAGGCATGACTTCCCTCCTCGGCTCCGTTGGTCCCAAGCCAGCGGTGTCTGTAGATTATCCTGAGTGGGGAAACCACAGCTGTGCAGAGCCTCTTGCCCCACCCCTCCCGCGCCTGCCACCTTATCACAGGGAAGCAGGTGTCGGGGCCCTTGGGGAGCAGGCAGACAGGCCTCCAGAGAGGCCCCTGCTGCCCAGAGCCGCCCCTGCCTTCAAGGGCCTAGCCCAGCCTGCGAGGCGCGGGGCAGCAGGCCTGTCTGCTCAGGGAGCAGGCTGAGCTGGGGCGCGGTAGCCAGTTTCTCAGAACCCAGGAGGTCCAGGAACAACAACCCAGGACAGGGAGGGCCCAGGGCCGGAAGGACGCACCACCGGACCCTGGGTGCAGGGAGAGGCGTGCACCAGGTCCAGGCGCCCGCCGTGCTCCCGGCCCCCTCTGTGCGGGGGTGCCCATCTCCACTCTCCTGGGCACGGAGGCGCCCCGAAGGAAGGGTGACTGTGCGGTCCCAGACCCGTGGACGCCAGGCTTTCTCTAAGGGCCGGACCAAGACAAGACCTTCCCAAAAGGAAGGCCGGGCAGCGATTCAATCTGCTCTCAGGTCCCCTCACCAGGCACACTTCGGTTACCGGCGAAGTGACAAGACCTCAGTTCCTCCGTCGGGAGACCAAGTACAGTATTGGCCGCTGCAAAAGCCCCTCAGGACAGTGAGCCAGGGCCGGGCAGCCTGAGCTCACTGGGGAGCCAGAGAAGAGTCGGCCTTGGAGACAGGTTCGGGGGTCTGCCAGGGATGAGCTGCCGCTGCCCACTGCTCCCCTGGGTTCAAGCCTCATGGGGTCCCGTAGAGTTCAGGAGATGCGTGCCAGGGAGGGGGAAGAAGTGAGGGAAGAGAAAGGCGGGGCGTGCATGCCCCCAGAGGGGGAGTGTGGCTGGGTCCATCCCCCCGGGGGGTTTTATCCCTCTGGTAGGTGGGGAAGCTTAGGGGAAGTCTCCCGGGAGGGTTTCGGTAGAATGGCATCAGTTCTCCAGGTGTGCCCATCCAGCGTCCTGGTCTTCGCTGATTGGCTGGCGCCGGACAAGGCGTCATTAGTCAGTGCAGCTGTTCGCGAGGCAGCCCTGGTGCCGCCTGTCTGGTTTTGCTGCTTTTCTGGGTCTGGAGCTGAAACACCGCTGAGGCCTCGTTATTACCCGAGGCGCTCATGTTTAAGGGAATGGCCGTGGGAAGGCCCGCATAGGATTACGTGAGGCCACTCTTCGGCCCCTCGACCCCCTCCAAGGGGGTCTACCGCATGACTAGCAACATGTCAGGGGAGGAGAGGTGACCCTGGGGACGAGGTCCTGGCTTTCCCAGTTTTGCCCCTTGCTCAGCACCGGGGGCTTTCCGCCCTGGTAACTTCTGTACCTGGCCCACCGCCCTTGCTCTCCTCATGTTTGCCTATCACGCTTTGGCGTTCTGAGCACTTTACGCTCATTGTACTTCCCTTTAACAGGCGAGGATATTGATGCACAGAGAGGTTAAGTCACTTGCCCAAGATCACACCACAGCTCTGCGTAACTGTGCCAGGGTCTGAATCCAGATCATCCTATTTTCCATACAGGCCATGGGTCCATTGCTGCGCGCCCCCGCCAGCCCGGCCCGGCCAGGCCGACCCCCAGAGAAGCTTAATGAATGTGCAATGGTCGAACCGACGAGCGAGAGCCCTGATGAGGTGCAGCCAGCGTTCCGGCCCCCGTCCCCGTTTGCGGACGGGAAGAGGGCGCGGGTCCTCCCGGCCTCCCCTGCCAAGCGCCCCTCGGCGGAGGGCGGAGTCACTGGTGGGCGGAGCCTTGGCCAACGTACCAATGGCAGTGTGGGGGCGGAGTCAGAGAGCGGGCGGGGCTAGCGGGAGAGGCGGGGCCTGATGGTGACGGACCAATGGCGGGTCGGGGGCGGGGCGGCGGCGGGCGGGGGCGCGCGGAGGCGGTGGCGGCGGCGAACAAAGAGGCGGCGGGCACGGGCGGCCGAGGGGAGCCGAGCGCAGCCGAGCGCAGCCGAGCCGGGCCGAGCCGGGCCGGGCCGGGCCCAGGAGCGCGCGGGCTATGCGGGCTGCCAGGCCGGGGTCGGCGGGCCCCTGAACCCGGCGCCCCGGGCCAGCGAGGAGCCCCGCCGCGGCCGCGCGCCCGAGGCGACCGGCCCGCCATGGCCGGGGTCAGCTACACGGCGCCCTGGTGGGTGACCCTCCTGCACCGGCTGCCGCACTTGAACCTGCGCTGGGAGACCACCAGCAGCCAGTTCCGACCCGAGGACACCGACTACCAGCAGGTGACGCGGGCCCCCGGGTCGGGGGTCAGGGCTCCGGGTCACGGCCCTTCCTTTCAAAGGTCTAAAGACTCCCCCTCCCCCATCGAGGGTCACGGCCCCTCCTCCTTGCCGGTTGGGAGCCCCCTGCCCGAGGATCGCTGCTCCCTCCTTTTGGAGGGTCTAAAGATGCCCCACTTTTCATCGCGAATCACTGCTGCCCCCCCCTTCCCGAGGTTCTCCCTCGGGTCACGGATCTCTCCTTTTCCAGGTTGTAAGGACCCCAATCCCCCCATCCAGGGTCCGTGGCCCTCCTGCAGGTTCTAGCCTCCCTCGGGTGTCACTTAAGGCCCTCTTTTCTGGGGTTCCATGGAGCCACCTCCCTCCCCTCCGTGCAGCCCCCTCTGCCAGCTGTCAGCTCCTGCCCAGGCCCCTGTCCATCACGGGCGTGGGAGGAGGGGGTGGGGGAGGGGGAGGGTCGGGGGCTGTTGCCAGGCAGAGCCCCCTCCCCATAGGGCCCCCAGACCTGCCGGGCTGCCAGGCTGTGGGAAGCACACACAGGGCAGCGTGCGTGCGTGCGGCGACACCTGGTCTGCCCGGGACTGGCTGCCAGGAACCCCTGAGGGACGAGGCCTGGCCACGGGGCGCAAGGTGGGCCTCAGCCTTGCAAGGCCGGAGAGGGCTGAGCCCGGGCAGAGCCAGGGGTGGCCAGACCCTTCACGGCCCTCTCCGCAGTGACCCAGGCGCTCCCCGTGGAGTCCTCAGACTGGGGTCCTGCCAAACCCCAGCGCCAACCCTGTCACTGAGCCACAGCCGTTCGGGTGCCGGGCAGGGGACCAGGCTGTGAGCTTTCCTTCCTGCCCGGGGATCCGGATTCCAGCAGCCTCAGAACCTGGGTGCCCGGTCACCTGGCCACCTGGAACGCCTCGGGGCCTCTCCTGTCTGGCAGTCATTGCGCAGCAGCTGGGGGGTGTGGAAACGGCTTTGCTTGTCAAGACGGCCCCGGAGTCCAGCACTTCGTGGACCACGTCACAGCTCACCTAGTCAGAACTCTGTGCTCCATGGCCCCCCCACCAGCGAGGGTGGGGGTGGGGGGGAACTGGAAGCAGAGGGCGAGGGTGGCACGGGCTGCCCAGCCCTGCAGGGGGGCCTCAGGCTCCCAGCCTCAGGGCTCGCCTGGTGCCTGCCCGCCCACCCCCCAGTCCCGCAGGCCTGTGTCTGAGCAGATTAGAGGGAGGCGAGAGGGTGGCCCGGGCCCACTCGGAGACAGCAGGATTGTATAAAACCCCACACCGGCGCCTGGAAGACGAGCCCGGGGGTGCGACCCGCGTGGGGGCAGCACCTCTGTGCCCCCCCGAACTCTGCTGGCTCTGCCGGGTCTGGCCCGGGGGCCCTGCTTCCCCAGGCCGGGAGGCCAGGCTGCCCTGGCGGGGCTTCCTTGTCGCTCTGCCGCGCCGGCGGCCCCTGGAGCTCGGGGGCGTCCGGCCACACAGGACGCTCCGCTGGCCCCAGGGCCGGCCCCTGTCGGGGGCCCGGGCTGGCGGCCTTGCTCCTGCCCTCGGGGCACCTGCTGTGCTCCCCGGGCCTCCCAGCTGGGCCTCTCGGACACCCGGGTGGGAGTGAGCAAGGCGCGGACCCCGCCGCCCGGCGGGCCTTGGGTGCCCCTCAGCGCAGCCTGGCCGCCCGCCGAGCCCAGAGCTCCTGAGAGGAGCCTGCTTTCTGCCCGAGCCCGTTCCCCCGTCGATGTGGGAGGCTCCGTCTGACTCACTCCCTCTCCTGCCTCCTCTCTGAGGAGCAGAATGAGCCTCTGAATAATTCACGGTGTGGAAACCGGCCTGTCTCCATCCCCCGCCCCCTGTGCTCCCAGCTGGGGGTTGGGGGGTGAGCCGGACCCGGGCCTGCGGCCTGCCGCTGCCCTCTGTGCTGGGGCTCTTGGGCAAGGATCCGACCTCTCTGAGCCTTCTTTGCCTCACGCCCCGGGCCAGGGCACCTTCCCTACAAGGTCGCGGTGGGGACGCCAGGGCCCAGCTCCTGCTCCCTGTTGAGGGGGCAGCAGAGGGAGCTCCGTCCCGGGTGGGTGGGTGATAGGGCGCCGTGGGCCGTGACTAGGGCCCCTTCCTGCCGCCGCCCCCCCGCGCCAGGTGAAGCACCCCTTGCTATGGGAGGCTACTGCCCTGTGGCGGACTCCTCCTCCCTGCGCTGGGGCGCCTGCCTGTCTCCAGCCCCAGCCGGGCTGCAGGGGCCGGCGGTCCTCTCCTGCTCTGTGGGCGGGTCCTGGCCGGGCTGGGTGCTTCTACCTCCTGAGCCACCCCGGGGAAAGGGGGGCCTGGTGCGGCCTTGGGGTGGCATGGGAGACCAGCCTTTGGCCTTCTTTGCTGCTTCCTGCCCCCACCCCATCCACTGTTGGGAGCCCTGGTGAAACCCACTGGAAAGCCCCATGGCCACTCTGTCAGGGCACTGTGTGGGGACATTTATCACTAGCTCCTTGTCACACGAGCCTGGAAAGAGGACCGTGCCCATTAAACATATGAACAAACCGAGGCTCAGAGAGAGAGGAGACTGGCTCAGAACCGCAGAGTGAGTAGGCTGTCGGGCCAGACCCCTGCCGCTGCCGGCCACTGGCCCCGGCCCTCCAGGGAGGCAGGCTCAGCTGGGGGCGCGGGGCGTGGCTGGGGCCTCTTGGGTGCGGGCTGTTTTGGGCCCTCCCGGAGCCCTGCTGGTCCTGCGTGGGGGCCTGCGGGTGGATTTCACACCCTGAAGGTGTGGTTTCTCTTGGGAGGGAGGGTCTCCGCCTCCCCGCCCCCCGCCCAGTCCTCCGTCCTGGAGAGGACGGGCTCCCAGCCATGGGTGCCTCTCAGGGGGCCCGTGGAGTCTGCTGGACGGACAGACAGCGAGGGCAGGCGGTGCTCCATCTGTGGGGCTGATGGGGTCTGCGGTGGGGCGGCCCGTGCTGCCTCGCGCCTGCCGCGGGAGGAGCCGCTGGCCCGGCTCCCCGGGGGCTGGCCGTCCTGGCGTGCCTGGAGCTCTCGCACGGGGGCAGCCGAGGTGCTGCCCGGCCTTCCCCGGAGGCCGCAGCCAGGCCGTGCGCGCCCAGCAGGCCGGTTCTTCCCTGGAGCCTGGCCTGCAGCGGGCACACTGGCCCACCGTCCGGGACAGGTGCAGCGGTCGCCTCAGGCGTTCCCCATGTGGGGCCGTTTCTTATTAGAGACGTGAGCGCGTTTCTGGCGTGACCCTAAAGACGAGAGGCGGAAGTAGCCGTGCGGAGACCTTGGGGGAGAGGGTGCTAGGTGGTGGGAACAGCATGAGCCAGGACCCTGAGGCAGGGAGGAGCCCGAGGCCCGAACGAGCGCCGCTCTGGTCTGAACACGCTGCCTCAGGCGGCAGCGAGCACCGTGTGCCCGGAGCTGCGCCAGCCCAGGCCGATGCCCTTAGAGCGGACGCAGGACCACGGTCCCTCCGTGGGACGTGATTCAAGGCCAGCCCGTGCCTGACAGCCGGCGGCAGGGCGCCCGTCTGACGCGTGGGGCTGGCCCTGTTGCCGTCCTCACCGCTGATCGGAAGGGGACTCGCTCTGGCTGAACGACACCACTTACGGGCTCACTTCTAGTCCACGAAAGGCGTGCACACGCGTGGGCCGTTTGGCAAATAGGAAAGAGCATGAAGACAGAGACCGACGTCTCGGGCTGGAGTCCGTCCATGCCGTGTGCTGGGCGGGGAGGGGCCTCCACACTGGAGTCGCCCCGTGCGCCCTTCCAGTCGCCTGCGCCGTTTAATCGCCGTGCGTTTGGGACTGTGTCCGCGGTCCTTGGTTCTCGATGCTAGGCCTGCGCCACACGGTAGCAGGCAGGCTTTGGAGGCTGCCAGGGACAGAAACCCTCCGAACGACGGGGCACGCGGGGAGCTGGGCGGAAGCTTCGACAGCAGCCCCTGCGTGGACGGAGCTCCTGGCCTGGCTTCGGGGTGCAGGGCCCACGGGCGGGCAGGCAGGCAGGGAAGCCCCTACAGAGCCACATCAACCCTGGCTGTTTCCCTCTTGGCCGAAGTCCCGGGGCGGAACCCAGTGGCGGAGCTGGGGTCACGTGGCCGCCGGTGGCCTCTGCCGCCGAGTGTGCCCCCGTGGGGGGGTAGGTGTCGGGGCCGAACTCTGCATCCTCCGCCTGGCGCTGGTGTGGGGTGCGTGCCACCAGGCTCTGTCGTTGGGCCTGTCGGCACCTGGTTCTCGAGGGCCTGAGGGTGCAGGGACAAGCTCTAGAGGGTGTGCAGGAAGGGACGTCGCTGTGCTGTCCCTGGCCAGGGGCTCTTCGTTGGGCTCTGGCTGGGTGGCTCTGACCCCCAGGCCACGGTCGCTCTGCCGGAGAAGCTCACGCTCTTTTTCCCATACACGGTTTTCTGGGGAGCCGCACACTGGCGCTGGGGGTGGGCGCCATCAGCCCACAGAAGCAACACTGAGGCGCTGGCCAGCGAGCATCTGTGAGCGGAAGACGTGGGCAGGCTGCTGCGCCAGCCCGCACGCTCCCCGCCCCCGCCTTACGTCCAGAGCCGTTTCGGGTCCGGGGGAGGGGCTCCCTGGGCCCCCAGCAGGCGCAGCGCAGGCGTCGGGCCGGCCCCCTCCCCCCACAGGCATTCTGCTGAGTCCTCAGTTCGAGAAGAGGAACCGAATCTGCAGGCAGGGACAGGTCACCAATATGGGAAGTGCCCCACGTGGCCCCCGAGGGTTTGGGGCATGTGACGGGGGCAGCAGCAGGACCCGGGAGCACCCAGCGGTGCTGCCTCCTGGGGTCTGCAGGGACCCCGCCTCGGCCCTGTGCTGGGCCAGCACTCGCGGCCCTGGGCGTCCCAGGGGCTCCCCAGCTGCGGGGCGGGGGCACCCTCAGCGGGAGGGGACTCCGGTGGGCGCTCGCTGGGCACTGCCACCCAGAGCAGGGACCGCTTCCCAGAAGTCATCCGCGCGCTGAGGTGCCCAGGCGGGGCCCTCGAGCACCCCGGCCGGCCCTGGGGTCTGCCGCCTGCCCAGCGGGACTCCC